AGGATTTGTCCTTTTAAAAAAAAGGTTTATTTATTTTTGAGAGAGAGAGAGAGAGAGAGAGAGGGAGAGCGTAAGTGGGGGAGGGACAGAGAGAGAATCCCAAACAGGCTCTGAGCCTTTAGCACAGAGCCTGACTTGGGGCTCAAGCTCAGGAACCTCAAGATCATGACCTGAGCTGAAACCAAGAGTTGGACGCTTAACTGACTGAGCCCCCCGGGCGCCCCAGGACCTGTCCGTTTTGATTGACCTACTTCATGTGGCACAATGTTCTCCATGCTTATGTTGTACCGTGTATTCGGGTTTCCTTTCTTTGTAAGGCTGAGTGATCCTCCGCCGTGTGAATGGACCACACCAGCTCGTCCATCGGCCGGGTCTCCAGCTGGTGGACCAGGGTGGTGATGACGGACAGAGTAAGAGTCTGCAAGGACATTAACCGTGGACCCAGTGGGATTCGTCAAGCGATTGGCTGGGGAATGTGTTGTGATTTTTTTTCTTTTTTTCTTTTTCTTTTTTATTTATTTCTGAGAGACAGAGAGAGAGAGACAGTGTGAGCAGGGGAGGGGCAGAGAGAGAGGGACACACAGAATTTTAAGCAGGCTCCAGGCTCTGAGCTGTCAGCACAGAGCCCGATGCGGGGCTTGAACCCACGAACTGAGAGATCATGACCTGAGCTGAAGTTGGACGCTTAACCCACTGAGCCACCCAGGCGTCCCTGGGGGAAAATGCGGTTTTTAAAAATACACCCACAAGGGGTGCCTGGCTGGCTCGGTCTGTAGAGCATGTGACTCTCGAGCTTCAGGTCATGACTTTAGGTCCCATGTTGGGTGTTGAGCTTACTTAAAGTAAAACAACAACAACAACAAACAAACAAACAAAATCTACAAATGTTTTCTCTTTTAAGGCTACTTACTTTGAGAGAGAGGGAGAGAGAATCCCAAGCAGGCTCCACACGGTCAGCACGGAGCCCGGCTTGGGGCTCGAACTCATAAACTGGGAGATCGTGACCTGAGCTGAAGTAGAGTCAGACACTTAACCAACTGAGACACCTAAGTGTCCCTCCATAAATGTTTTCACACTCTTTTATTTATTTATTTATTATTTAATGTTTATTTATTTTTGAGAGACAGAGCATGAGCAGAGGAGGGGCAGACAGAGAGGGAGACACAGAATCGGAAGCAGCTCCAGGCTCCAAGCTGTCAGCACAGAGCCCGACGCGGGGCTGGAACCCACAAACCACGAGATCATGACCTGAGCCCAAATCAGACACTTAACTGACTGAGCCACCTAGGCGCCCCGATTCTCCTTTATTTAAAAAAAAAAAAAAACTTTTTTAATGTCTGTTTTTGAGAAAGAGAGAGACAGAGAGAGAGAGAGCATGAACAGGGAGAGGGGCAGAGAGAGAGAGGGAGACAGAATCTGAAACAGGCTCCAGGCTCCAAGCTGTCAGCACAGAGCCTGACGCGGGGCTTGAACCCATGAACTGTGAGATGGTGACCTGAGCCAAAGTCGGACTCTTAACCGACTAAGCCACCCAGGCGCCCCTCAATTCCATTTTGAAAAGCTCTCTCTCTGGCTGCTGCGTGGACGATGGACTCAGGCAGCAGGGGTGAACACAGGACCATAGGGGAGGCGGCCACGGCAGCCATCCACAGCAGCCTGACGGTGGCCTGGATTTGGGAGGTGGCAGGGGAGACGGAGAGAAGCAGGCAGGTTTAAGAGTTGCTGAGGAAGTAAAACAAACAGAACTTGGGAGCTGAGGAGTGAACGGGTGGGGCAGGGGTGGGGCAGGGGTGGGGAGGAGATGACGGGACAGCTTTAGCTGTGGCCACACTGAGTCCATGAGTCCATGTCCCCAAAATGTCCAAAGGCCTCCGAAAATATAGCGACTTGTATGATGAGTGTAGACGAGGGGCGCCTGGCTGGCTCGGTCGGGTGAGTGACTGACCTCGGCTCAGGTCACAATCTCACAGTTCGTGAGTTCGAGCCCGGCATCAGACTGTGCTGACAGCGTGGAGCCTGCCTCTGATTCTCTGTCCCCCCCTCTCTCCACCTCCCCCGCTTGTGCTCTCTCTCTCAAAAAATAAACATTAAAAGAAAAATAAGATTAGAGGCTCTCACCTGAGGGTGATTCTGCGCACCCAAGGGATACTTGGCAGTGTCTGGAGACATTTCTGTTATCACAGCTTGGGGCTGCTGGCATCTAGTGGGTAAACCCAGGAGATGCCGTTCGACACCCCACAAGGCACTGGAGTGTCCCCCGTAAGAACAACTGTGTGGCTCCGAATGTCAGTGTGCAGAGGTGGAGAAATCCTAGGGGAGACCAGTGGCTGCAATAAGCAAATTTCAATTCCAGTGGATGTTGTTTATTCAATAAAGTTTTATTCCTTCTGTTTGGAACAGTCAAGCTCAGATCTCAGTTTCCTGGGCTGCTCCCCTGCAAACACGCCTCTCCAAGCAGCTGGCAAAGGCGGGGACAGAGAGAGAACTCCTATGGCAGGGTTTTCAAGGATCTGGGGCCTGAAGGGACTTAACCGGATCGGCCACATGGCCATTGGCCATGATCATCTTACCTCCCATTGGCCAGGTCAATCATGTGGCCACACCTAACTGCAAGGGATACTGGGAAATGTAGTCCAGCCATGTGCCCGGGAGGAAGTAGGAAAGCATGATGCAAAATGAGCCAGTCCTTGGCCTGGTGTTGTTATTGTCCTCATGATTTCTGATGTTATTTGGACTTATTGTCTGCAGAAATGACCCCTGAAGGTGGTCCATATTTCAGGACCTTAGGAGGGTGAGAGGCACTGCCTGGTATGTCTGGAAGGCTTCCTGAAAGAGGAGGTATGGATGATGCGGCTTTGAAGAAAGCAGAAGGCAAACATCTGAGAAGCGGGAGAATAAGAACGGCATGGCCTCAGGGAAGTCACTCCTTCATTCCTTTTTTTTTTTAAATTTTTTAATGTTTTATTTATTTCTGAGAGAGAGAGAGACAGCATGAGGAGGGGAGGGCCAGAGAGAGAGAGGGAGACACAGAATCCAAAACAGGCTCCAGGCTCTGAGCTGTCAGCACAGAGCCCGACGCGGGGCTCGAACCCATGAACCGTGAGATCATGACCTGAGCCAAAATGGGACACTTAACCAACTGAGCCACCCAGGCGCCCTATTCACTCCTTCATTCCTGACCACACAGAGCCTTGGGGCCAGGGTGGGTGTCATGGGGACCCAACGGACCGAGGTGGCCTGGTTTGTGTCGAGAGTCTTCTAGCTGCTTGAGGAATCAGATTGCCAAATAAAATACAGGACGCCCAGCTAAACTGGAATATCAGATAAACAACACATGATTACTTTTTAAAGCCTAAGTATATCCCAAGTATGTTGTGGGATATACTTATGCTAAAATATGATCGTCTTTCTGGAATTCAGATTTAACAAGGCATCCTGGATGTTTATTCGCAGGGAGGCCAGAATGAAGGGGGCAAGGTCAGGTGTGGGTGGGTGACGCTCATGGGTGTGACATGGGCAGACGTGCAGGCCCTGTGTCTGGAGTACTTGGACTTCTACCCTGAGCGAGGCAGGGTAGCCCTGGGGCTGTGAGTGTGGGGGGACATGCCCGACGTGGGTAAGGGGCCCACAGACCCAACCCTGGGACTGGCAGCCACCCTCCCCCCCCATGGATTCCCCAGCCTAGGGTCTTTCCCTTCAGCAGTGCTGACATTTGGGGCCAGATCATTCTCTTTTTTAACGTTTTATTTAAATTTCCCTTAGTTAACAAACAGTGTAATGTGAGATTCAGGAGCACAAGATGGTGATTCCACACTTGGACACGTCACCCGGTGCTCGTCACGACAGGCACCCCTTTGTCCCCGTCACCTGTTTCACCCATCCCCCCCCACTTCCCCGGGTGACCAGCAGTGTGTTCTCTGTAGTTAAGGGTCTGTTGGGGCCATATCTTCTTGATTGTGGGGCCACCCCATCCACTGCAGGATGTTGAGCGCCATCCCTGACCCCCACCCCCTCAGTGCCAGGAGCGCTGGCAGTCCTGACAGCCATGAACGTGCCCAGACATCGCCCAGTGTCCCCTGCGGGCAGGGTCGCTCTGGGTGAGACTCCCCGGGTTCGGGGACTCCGTTGGCCCCTAGGAGACTCTGTGCCCCATACTCATCTGACCTTCTGAGGTCCTGGGATCGGGTGCATATTTACACACACGCATCAAGGGGCGCCTGGGCGGCTCAGTCGCTAAGTGTCCAACACTTGGTTTCAGCTCAGGTCGTGATCCGTGGTCGTGGGTTCCAGCCCCGCACTGGGCTCTGTGCTGACAGCACGGAGCCTGCTTGAGACTCTGTCTCCCCCTCTCTCTGCCCCTCCCCCTGCGCTGTCTCTCTCTCTCTCTCAAAAAGAATAAACAAACAAACATTTAAATACATCAAGTGGGAGGGAGAGAGGCAGTAACTCCCAAACCCTGGACGGCCACCCTGGGTTGCACGGCCTGGCCCATCGGGGTTTGTTCTGGTGTCTAGTGTGAGCTTGGGATCAAACTCAGTTTTCTGCCCAAACAACAAATACTAGGTCTCTCCCCCTTGGCACTGTGGACCGCTGGGGCCGGGCCATTCTCTGGGGCGAGGCCATCTGGGCATTGCAGGCCAGCGAACAGGTCCCTGGCCCCCACTCCCCCGTGCTCGGAGCACCCCCGGTCCCCTCCATGGGGACAGCCGGTCCCGCCGGACTCTGCCGCTGCATCCAGAGGCCCGAACCGCCCTGGAGGGGGAGCCCGGGCCCAGGCTCTGTAAGAGCCGTGCACGGAAATGGGTCTGGAGCGCTAGCGGGGCGGGGTGACTCGGAGGTCCTGTCTCCCCCCCCCACCCCACCCCCTGCAGCCTTCTCCTGGCCCGGGGGGGGGGGGGGAGAAAGCGATACCTAAGCAGCTGCGGTGCGAGAAGAAGGTTCCGGCTCGTGCCGCCCACACCCTGAAGCCCACGTGTCCGAGACAAAGAACAGGCTCCTCGTGGCGTCCAATAAAGCTTTTAATACCTAGAAGTCTGGGCACTCAAGGCTGGCAGTCCTGGCTGGCGGGTAGCGCTGCCCCCTCCCGCGGCTGGCAGCTGGCGGCGTCCACCAGGGCACTGGCGACGGTGATGGGGACCTTGGCCTTCACACAGGTCAGGGACCAGGGCAGGTGGACGGTGCCGACCAGCTCGTAGCGGGTGCTCATGAGCTCGCCGTTCCCCGTGCGGCTGCTCACGGACAGCACGAGCGGGAGCTTGAGGGTGCTCACGATGGTGGTGGTGTCGAAGGGCGTGATCTGGGTGTTGGCCTCCTGGCGGAGCAGCTCGCTGCTTTCCACCCGCCACCGCTGCTCCGCCTTGGGCGTGAAGCCCTCGTACCGCACATGGGTGTACAGGGCGAAGACGACCATCCTGAGGCACTTGCTGGTCCGGTTGTTGATCTGCGTGGTGAGGACGATCTTCTCCCCCGGCGCGAAGGTGTTCTTTTCCATCCGGATTTGGAGGGAGATGGTGCCCTGGCGGCAGCAGTTGTAGGAGACCTTCTTCTCGGCCTCCACGGACAGAGGGTTCTGGAAGGGGGGGATGGGCAGCTGTGAGGGGTCACGGCCACAGGGTGCACTCGCCTGCCTACCATTCCTCCTGCACACCTCCTGCAAGCCTGGAGCCGTGGCACTCCTAAGTAGGAGACTCCGATACAGGATCTGGAGCCTTGGGATTCGGCCGCCCAAAGCCCGGCATCCTCTCCCCGCTTACTTTCCTCAGTACCCCCTGCTTTTCTGAGCATCAGTTTCCTCATCTGTAAAAGAAGCCTTTGAAATCAACAAGACCCTGGCTTTACCTCTACCTCCATTGCTTACTTGCTGTGTGACCCTGGGGAAGTGGCTTGACTTCTCTGGGCCCTGGATTTCTTTCTTTCTTTTTAATGTTTGTTTATTTTTGAGAGACAGAGACAGAGCGTGAGCAGGGGAGGAGCACAGAGAGAGGGAGACACAGAATCTGAAGCAGAGGCTCCAGGCTCGGAGCTGTCAGCGCAGAGCCCGACACAGGGCTCAAACTCACAAACTGTGATTTTGTGACCTGAGCCGAAGTCAGATGCTTAAATGACTGAGCCACCCAGGCGCCCCTGGTCATCGGATTTCTAGAAGACAGGAAATGTCTTGCAGTCTAAGCCAGAGACCCAGGGTTTACCCAGGTAGTTCAGACTTCAGGAGAAGATGTTACGGGCTCTGAATCACGAGAAGGAAAACGGCGAGTTGAAATGCTGTAACGTGTTTAAATAAGTGCCTCAAAACGCAGACATTCTATCTACCGGTCAGCTCCTGGGCTGCAAATGAAGTCACACATACATTCTATTTAATGAGTGGCTTGGGTGATAGTCTACTTTTTTTTTTTTAATGTTTTATTTATTTCTAGGAAAGAGAGAGAGAGACAGCGTGAGCAGGGGAGGGTCAGAGAGAGAGGGAGTCACAGACTGAAACAGGCTCCAGGCTCCGAGCTGGCAGTCAGCACAGAGCCCGACGCGGGGCTCGAACCCACGAACCGTGAGATCATGACCTAAGCGAAAGTCGGACGCTTAACCGACTAAGCCACCCAGGTGCCCCGATAGTCTACTTTTTATTTGTGGATAATATTTTAAAGGATTCAGTGTGCTGTGGGGTGGGCTTAGAATAACTGCTCTCCACTTCCGCTGGCTTCCGGTATCTTCTTGCAGAGGAACTTGATACTTTTACGTGTGTGTGTGTTCCCTTCCAGCACACCAAAAAGAGGGAGAAAAAATAGTGTAAAAAATACTTCCCGGGACGCCTGGGTGGCTCTGTCGGTTAAGCGTCCGACTTCGGCTCAGGTCAGGATCTCGCGGTTTGTGGGTGCGGGCCCCGCGTCGGGCTCTGTGCTGACAGCTCAGAGCCTGGAGCCTGTTTCGGACTCTCTGTCTCCCTCTCTCTCTGCCCCTCCCCATCTTACGCTGTCTCTCTCTCAATCAGAAATAAATAAAACATTAAAAAATTAAAAAAATATATATTTCCCAACGCCCCCTCCACTCCCCATCAGTCACATCAGGTTGGTCACTGGGAGTTGGTCTGATGGTAGCATTTTCACCAGGGGGACTGGGGGGAGTTGGGAAACATCAGGCACCAAGGCTGCCCCGGCCCAGAGCCGGCGGCCAGCTGTCTCCTCACACCACCTCCGCATCCTCACAGCCCGCTCCATCGGCATTTACAGATTCTCCTGATGTGTCCCAGCTCTCGGCTCATTTAAGGAATAAAATATCAGGGGGCGCTTGGGGGCCTGTCAGTTGAGCACCTGACTCTTGATCTTGGCTCAGGTCACGATCTCACGGTTCGTGGGTTCGAGCCCCGTGTTGGGCTCTGCGCTGAGCATGGGGCCTGCTTGGGATTCTGTCTTTCTCTCTCTCCCTCTTCCCCTCTCTCCTGCTTGAGTATGCACTCTTCGTCTCTCAAAATAAGTTAATAAACTTAAAAAAAATAACAAAACATTAAAAATATATCAGCGTTACACAATCACGTGAATGTATTCAATACTAATGGTTAAGTGGCAATTTTTATGTATATTTGGCCACAATTTAAAATAAAACATAGGGGCGGCTGGGTGGCTCAGTTGGTTAAGTGTCTGACTCTTGATTTTGGCTCCGGTCATGATCTCGTGGTTTCCTGAGTTTGGGGGCCGTGTATCGGGCTCCACACCGACAGTGCGTAGCCTGCTTGGGATTCTCTCTCTCTGCCCCTCTCTCGTTGTGCGCTCTCTCTCTCTCTCAAGATGAATAAATAAGCCTAAATAAATAAAATAAAAAATAAAACCGAGATCTAGTTGAGGCCCCCACGAACCCCTCCCTAATGCCATCGCCCACCCCTGGTTCCCTTCATCCTGAAATGGGGGTTTATCATATCTGCAGATTAAAAAAAACAAACTCTTAAACATTATTAGGGAATACAACTCAGACAAGGAGACCCCACGAAGCAAATATATTCCTGTGAGTTATAAAGTCAACTCACTTGTAACCCCCATCCAAGAAGAAAGGATTTGCTAGTTTTCCCCGAAAGTCCCTCACACTTGCCCAGGCCCCGACCCTGTCTGCAAAGGCCGATACCCAGAATTTTACAGCAAATTTTGTTGTACCTACACGTTTGTGCTCTTATTACATACCCGGAGGGACCTACATTGTCTCAAGAAAATGTTTCTAAAGAATAGCCTAACAGGGCTCCTGCGTGGCTCAGTCGGTTAAGCGTCTGGGTCTAGGTTTTGGCTCAGGTCATGATCTCATGGTTTGTGAGTTCAAGCCCCACATCGGGCTCTGTGCTGTCAGCACAGAACCTGCTTGGGATTCTCTGCCTCCCTTTCTCTTGCTTGCTCGCTCTCTTTCTTTCTCTCTCTGTCAAATATAAATAAACATAAAAAAATGTAAAGAATAATAGAACAAGCACAAATATATCTTCTAACCAGCGGAAGAAAGGAAACGTTACTGATTTGACTGAAATTGGGTGGGTTCTAGATGCTTTGTCCCTTTTCTCTCCTCTGTTTATTTCCAGATTGGTGTTTGTCATTCTCATGTGAATTATTTTTATCTTAATTTAAAAAAATTTTTTTAATGTTTATTTTTGAGAGACAGAGCATGAGTAGGGGAGGGGCAGACAGAGGGAGACACAGAACCGGAAGCAGGCTCCAGGCTCTGAGCTGGCAGCACAGAGCCCGACGCGGGGCTCGAACCCACGAACCTTGAGATCCTGACCTGAGCTGCAGTCAGACACTCAACCGACTGAGCCCCCCAGGCGCCCCTACTTTACTTATTTTTTTAAGCAGGCTTCATACCCAGCACGGGGCTTGAACTCACGACCCTGAAATCAAGACCTGAGCTGAAATCAAGAGTCAGTAGCTCAACCAACTGAGCCGCCCAGGCGCCCCTCATGTCAACTTTTCTATTATTTAGAAGTGCATCTGCCGGTGGGAGAAGTAAACAATCCTTACATATTTTAATGCTTTAAATAAATCAAGCTGTCCGTGTTTTCCAGCCACTGGCTTGTCCAGCAGAGCACCCTGCACTTGAAGTGCGTTTGTGTCCACACACCTGTCGTTCGGGTTTGTTATCACCGGGCTGCTGAGTGTGTTGCAAAATAGTTTATGATTTCACGTAGCCCCCTCCAGAGGCTGGATCGTTACATCCTTTCTATGTGTTCGAGGCCACAAAAGTGTCAGAAGAAACAGTCCAAAGACGTTTGGTCCTGGACTCACACGGGAGGGTTGCTCTCCTCCACGAGCTGGCAAACTTTTTCGGTAAAGGAATCGATGACAAATATTTTAGGCTCTGTGGGCCACATATGGTATGTGTCACATATTTCTTCTTTTGTTTTTTAAACCACGACTCAGGGTTAGAACATAGGTTTTGGGGGGGGGGTGCTTGCTGGCTCTGTCGGAAGAGCGTGTCACTCTTTAAAAAAAGATTTTAATATTGTGGCCGAGAACACGATCTGTGCTTGCATCTACGTCTAGATCTGCAAATGAGAAATACTGTCATGAACTAAGGCTTTTCCATAACCCACGCCTGCTGGGACTTCCTGTTTTACTCTCTTCTACTTATTGTCTTCATTTAAAAATGTTCGTTGCAGGGGTGCCTGGGGGACTCAGTCGGTTGAGCGTCCGACTTGGGCTCAGGTCATGATCTTGTGGTTCATGGGTTCGAGCCCCGTGTCGGGCTCTGTGCTGACAGCTCAGAGCCTGGAGCCCGCTTTGGATTCTGTGTCTCTCTCTGTGCCTTCCCTGCTCATGCTCTGTCTCTCTCTGTCCCTCAAAAATAAATAAACGTTAAAAAAAAAAAAGAGTCCAGAAATTGCATTCAATTCCTCAATTCTTAATTTTTTTTAAATGTTTTTATTTATTTATAGAAGAGAGAGAGAGACAGCGTGAGCAGGGGAGGGTCAGAGAGAGAGGGAGTTACAGACTGAAACAGGCTCCAGGCTCTGAGCTGGCAGTCAGCACAGAGCCCGACGCGGGGCTCGAACCCACGAACCGCGAGATCATGACCTAAGTGAAAGTCGGACGCTTAACCGACTAAGCCACCCAGGCGCCCCTCAATTCCTCAATTCTTTAAAAAAATTAATTGCAACCCATCGACCAGATTTTCTTCATTTCCTATTCTTATTTTATTCTCTGTTCTGTTTTCTTATTCTATTTAAAACACACACACACACAATGTTTGCAACCCACGAAATTGACTTTTTTCTGATACTTTCCCCTTTGGCCTTATGTATTCTTTCATTTTATACAAATGAACTCGCATCCCCTTAAATTGATTTTCCAGCCTCGGGACCTGAGGTTTGAAAAACGCCGGTCCAGGTAGGACGCCTTTCTCTTTGGAGACCTAGGGCTGACCCCTGACCCCAGGTGACCTCACCTCTACCTTCAGCCTCTGACCCCCTGCCTCCCCCTCCCTCTCCTCCGGGCTATTTGCAGCCAGTTTTATTCTAAATCCCTCCAGTCTTATTCGAAAATTCCTCGCATGCGTTAGAACCCTGCGGGCCCGGTGGCAAGGAACCCGCTGCCCTAACTCAAGCCTGTAATTCTGGCCTGTAGCTGAGCGAGGGGCCAAGAAATACCAATGGTGGCTCAGTGGAGACTCCCACTCGAGGTCAGGCAGGGCGGCCGAAGCGTTCTGATTTCCAGTACTGTCGGAGGTACACCTCCAACATGGGATTTCCTGCATCTGGCGGTGTCTCAGAGCCCGGAATTCTTTAGGCATAGGTGAACCTCTGGTGGGGGGAGGGGGGGTTCATCCAACCAGTATTTATTCGCATCAGTTTGGTGCCAAATTCAAGGAAAACCCATAGCAGTTAAGACCAGCCTAGTCCCAGGGCGTCTGGCTGTCTGTCAGAGGAGCGCACAACTCTTGATCTCGGGATTATGGGTAGGAGCCTCAGGTTGGCTGTAGAGATTACTTAAAAAAAACCAAAAAAACCCAACAACTTAAAAAATATGGGGCACCTGGGTGGCTTAGTCGGTTAAGCGTCCGACTTTCTCTTAGGTCTTGATCTCGCGGTTCGTGGGTTCGAGCCCCGCGTCGGGCTCTGTGCTGACTGCCAGCTCGGAGCCTGGAGCCTGCTTCAGTCTGTGACTCCCTCTCTCTCTGACCCTCCTCTGCTCACGCTGTCTCTCTCTCTCTCCTAGAAATAAATAAAACATTAAAAAATAATAATAAAATAAAAAATAAATAAGACCGGCCCCGGCCCAGTCCCTGCCCTGCTGGGCACACTGAAAATGACCAGGTCATTTCTGATGAGGCTGCGGCGGGATGCAACATGGCGGGGGCAGGAGGGAAGGAGAGTTGGGGGGGGCGGGTCTCCCTCAGAGCCAGTGGTTAGGAAATGTCTCTGCGACAAGTTCCTTTTCCAAACGGTACTGACTCCTGGAGGAGGCAACAGGGCCTGTCTTTGAAGCTTCTCGAAGGTGCGAAGAGGGGAGAGGAGGTGAAGAGATCGGAGCCCTTGTGCTTGGCTAAAGGGAACGAGAAAATGTTGCAGCTGCTGCAGAAAAACAGGCTGGCGGTTCCTCCAGGGTTAAACAGACAGATCGTCTGACCCAGCAAGGCCCCTGCGGGGGGTGGGGTGGGGGTGGGGGTCTAGCCATGCAGACCTTTGCAGGCCCTGGAGACAACCCAAGTAGCCATCGCGCAGGAACGGATACACAGAATCTGGTCCATCCGTGCCCTGGACTATGATTCAGCCATAAAAAGGATACATCCGGACGGAGTTTGCACAAAGCGAGTGCCTGGGAGATACCAGAGTCGGTATCATATGATTCTGTTTTCATGCAACGTCCAGAACAGGCAAATCCATGGAGAGAGGAAGCGGATTCCGGGTGTCGGGGGTTGGGGGAGGGGGGGAGTTTGAGGGATGCAAGATTTCATCCTGGGGTGAATAGGATGTGCTAAAGTCGACAGAGGGGACGGCCACCTGGCTTTGAGAACACACTAAAAGCCATTGAACTGTGCGCTTGAAGTGGAAATGTCATAAAGTATGTGGAGTATATCTCTATAAAGCTGTTTATTTTTAAAAAGAGTGGAAGGGGGAAAACGTCTGCCCCCCCTCCCTCCCCAGCCCCCCTCCCAGGGGGGCAGGGGCTGTTTTGTCAGTTTCTCTGGTCTCCTTCCGGAGTTGTTAGTTACACCTGCAAGGAAGTATCTTTCTGGCTTCCACCACCACCAGCCTGCCGGGCGCTGGCTGTGCTCCGTGTTCTGAACTTTGCTGCGCTCTCTCCACCCAGTGACTTAGACGTCCTTATTCTTGGTTTCTCTTTAACTTCTCAGTAGAGTAATACCCTTGATGGCGCACTGCCACTTTCATTCTCTCAGCAATGAACATTCAGGCTGATTTCCTTTTTTTTTTTTTTTTTTGCCACCAAAAAACATTGCTGTAGGAGGTCTTGTCAGGCGTGAAAGAATATCAGTGGGAGACATTTCTAGAAGGGAAGTGGCTGGGGCAAAGGGCATGCTCACTTTCATTTGGATATATGCAGCTAAAGTGGCCTCTGTTGGGGTTGTGACAGTTGGTCAGGCTTCTGAGCAGAGATCTGAAGGAGGAGGAGGAGGGAGAGGAAAATGATACCATAGTGTTCCAGGCGGAAGGCACCCATGCAAAGGCCCTGGGGTAGGCCCAGGCCTAGAGTGTTGGTGGAACAGCCAGGAGGCCCATTTGGCTGGAGCAGAGAGAGCAAAGGGGAGGGAAGGCAGAGGGGAGGGCAGCTAGGGGATGGGGCAGGTCATGCAGGGCCTTCCGGGCAGCGGAGACGTCGGCCTTTACTCTGAATGAGATGGGACACGGCAAGGACTGTGGGCAGAGGAAGGTCATCACCTGACTTCTCTGGGTGCCCTGAGGACAGACTGGTTGGGGTCAAGAATCTGCCTCTACCCGGTTGAGCCCCATCCTTGCCCACTGCACCAGAGCGGTAACCTCTGCCCCTCATCTCCCAACTCCTGCCCTCACCCCTGCCCCCTATTTTCTGTCCTCCCCAAAGCAGCTAAAGGGAATGAAATGCTGACCTTCTGCCCACCAGGGCTCTCCCCTCCATCAGAGTAGAAGTGCAAGTACTTCCGAGGCAACCTTGTTTCCTCACTGCCCTTACCCTCTCCCTCCCTCCCCCTCATTCACGCTGCGTCAGCCCTGAGGCTCCCTTTCACTGTCCCTCCAACAAGCAAGGCACAGCCCTGCCCCAGGGCCTTTGCACGGCCGCTCCCTCTGCCTGGAACCCGCTACCCCAGATGTCCCCATGGCTTTTCCCCTCTCCTCTTTCAATTCTCTGCTCAAATGTCACGTCCTCAAAAAGGCCTCCCTTGACCAGTCTGGTAAAGAGAGTACTGAGTTGTCAAAAAACCCCACAAAAACAGTATTTTCATATCCTCAAAATGTACATGTAATAATGCTGCTATGATCTTGATTGTAGATCTTCCCACTTACTGGGCACTTCCTGGGTGTGTAGACTTTGAGCCGAGCACTTGGCGGCACCCATAGGCACCCATCGAGGGAAGTTTTTCCTTCTCATTATACAGATCAGGACAGTCCAGTCAAAGCTCTGGGAAGTAGTGGTGTGTGTGTGTGTGTGTGTGTGTGTGTGTGTGTGTGTGTGTGTGTGAATATTTATTTTTGAGAGAGAGAGAGAAGGAAAGAGAGCGAGCGAGTAGGGGAGGAGCAGAGAGGGAGAGAGAATCCCAAGCAGGCTCTGCTCTGTCAGCGCAGAGCCCCACGCGGGGCCTGAACTCACAAACACGGGAGACCATGACCTGCGCTGAAATCAAGAGTCAGGTGCTCAAATGACAGACAGACCCACCCGGGCGCCGCTGGGGGTGGTGTTAACTGCCCAAGGCCACGCGGCTGATGGGATATCTGTCAGCGAGATCGCAGGCTGGTCTGACCCAGCACCAACACTTCGCCCCAGCCCCTCCCTTGTGCCCCTGCATTCTGCAGGGAAGGGCAGAGAAGGGCCGTAGCCGCTCAGAGTAACACAGGGAGCAGGTGGGCAAGCGCGCCCTGAGCTCAGGCCTGATCATCCCGGGGCGGGTCCGCCCCTCCAAGCATCTACCCTTCCTGGGAGCCTCCAGAACCATGCAGATGAGCCTTGTCACACACACAATAATGCTGGAGATGGCACCCGTGACGAGATTCTTGGGGCTGTTCTCCAACCTGTGCCAGGCACCTTGGCAAATTCAGGATTCACATGAAACCGGAAGTTGGGGCGGGGGCTTTGGGATCTTTACCTGGATGTTGAAAGCTACAAGGCCAGCCACCTGAGCCCCCAATACTCTGATAACGGAGTCCCCAAGGGCAGTCACTTGGCCTAACGTCACCCCACACACCTTGACGTCTACCTCTGCACCAGGCCCTCCAGGAACCATCTAGAAAACCTCCTCTGCTTACCAAGACCAACATCGCATGGCCTTTCCCTTTCTGGGCCAGAGGCCACCCCCTTTCATGCCTCTTTGGGTGGCCACCATCTCTGTGTCTGATGGCTCCAAGACCCTGCAGAGTCACCGACTGTAGGCTTTTCTTTCACCCATGGGTCTTAGGGGCCTCTGCTTAGTTGTGACTTACTGCAAGGCCAAGGATGTCGGGGACCAGTCGCTCTCTGCAGGGGGCATCCAGGGCACCGTGGGGTATTGAACAGCAGCCCCCGCCCTACCCACTCGATACCAGCAGCTCCCCCGCCCCCCAGTGTGACAGCCACAAATGTCCCTAGACACCGGAACTGTCCTGGGTGAGAGTCACGGCCTTGGTTCCTGCCCTGGTTTCTGATTCACCTTTTGTGAACTCGGCCTGGGGAACCACCAGTGCCTCCCCCTCGTCCCTGCTGGGGGGCCACCTCTGTCCCCCGCCTTCCACCCCCGCCTGCCTCCAGCGAGCTGTGAGGATGAGTCCTGGCCCCGCTCCTCTCCCATCACTACCTGCAGCAGGTTTTCTTTGCAGAAATCTGAAGTCCCTTGAATCAACAAGTACATTCTCTTCTTTGCTAGAATGTGCTCCCGACCCACGCACGAGGCTTGCATGAAGTAGGAGACGTGGCCGATTTTGCTGGCGAAGGTGGAAGGAAGCCTGGGAGGTAAGTTGAAATGGAAGTCAAAGGTGTGGCTGCCTGCACTTAACCAATTATCTGAAAGCAAAACACACCAACACCATCAGAAGGTTCTAGAAACTTCTCTCCCTCCTCCCCCCCTTTAAATGTATTGTTTGGGCAAGGGCTTTGTGCTGGGCCTGGCCCACACATCCCTGAGCTAGGCTGAGCTCAGTGCGTTTAGGGATCTGCATGGTCCACAAGTCTTAGGCCTTGGCCTCGGCTGGGCTGGAGAAGGATGGCCAGGGTGGGTGATGCGGCTGGGGTGGCCACCCCGAGCTACCTACAGGGGTGTGCTCACCACTACTCTGGATCTGCGAAGTTGGAGGTCCAGCCCTCCGACACACAGTCATTCAATAAACGCATCTTAAGCCCCTACTGTGTGCCCCAGAGGCTGTTTTAGGTGGTATTTACAGCAGTGAGCAGGCTAGCAAATCTCCCTGCCCTCAGGGGGCTTGGCTCTCGGTGCACAGTATACAGTAGGTGCTCAACATTTGTTAGGGGCAACTCAGGACCAGGCAGAAACTCACACAGCCCCCATGTCTGCAACTTCCCCATTTTATTCTTTTTTTACCCCCATTAACCCAAAAGCCTCTGGACCGTGTTTACCTTATTCGCTGTTGCACCCCCAGTACCTGGTACGACGCTGTGCATAGATGTAACACTTATGATGCCCCTCCTGTATGCCCCATACTATTCTAAGCCCTTTGTATACCATTAAGTCACTAAGCCCTCAAAACAATCTTATGAGGCCAGACTTCCTGGTTCCCATTTTCCAGTTGGGTTAGCTGGGACACAGAGACGCCACACGGCTGCTGGCCAGTAAGGCCTGGCATGTGGCTCTTCCTCCCCTAGATCATTCTATTTTTTTTTTTTTTACTTTAAAAAATGTTTTAATATTTTTTGAGAGCGAGGCAGAGTATGAGCAGGGGAGGGGCAGAAAGAGAGGGAGACACAGAATCCAAAGCAGCTCCAGGCTCTGAGCTGTCAGCACAGAGCTGGACGCGTAAGGACGTGTAGCTCCGGGCAACTCAGCCTCCCCGATGTCCGTCCAGGCTTTGGATCTGAACCTCGTGGAGTCGGGGACCCGTTATTCTTTCCCTAGTGTGTCTTCCCCGCCCCTATCTCTTCCCCTGTGACCATGGGACTCCTTATCTTTGTCTCCTTGGATTTCAATGCGAGACAGAGATTTATCTGTAAAATTACAAGAAAGACATCTTACTGGCCTCCCAGAGTGGTCACTGGGCTCAGGATAGCATTTTCCAGGGCAACTACTTTGAAAGTTCCTTTCGAACATCTGGGTTCCGCTCAGCTCTTCATGTCTTGTTATTTTCGTGTTGTGAGTGTCTGGTGGTCATTGTCATACACAGCCTCTCCCTCCTGGGGAGGCACCAGGCCGCTGCCCCTTTCTGGTATCCCTGGGGGTTTGTGGGTCAACTACCAGATGTGTTCACCTTCCAGACCCAGATTCTTGTTACGGCCAGAGTTGGCTGCCGGCTTTGTCCTTACCCTCTATTGAGAATGTCTTTGTCTTGTGCACGTAGTCAGCCTTGTTGTTGCAAATAACATCTCTGCTGTAATCACGGGAAGCCCCGATCTCTTCGTTCCACTCCACGTAACCCCTGCCCACGAGCTCTACCTTCACCATGGGGTCCACCAGGGTGCTGTTCAGCGTTAGAACCACCTGGCCTTCTATGCTGGAGCCGGCCAGGTAGACTGCATCCTTGGGCAACACTAATTCGATCGACTTCACCACAGACATGGGGGGTTGGGGTGGTGGAGAAACATCCTCCCCCTACCCCCATGACACTGAGATTCCCGGGTCCTTTGCCGCAGTGAGGTCACCTGTCTGTGACATCAGCTAGCCAGGGTTCTGGGAAGGAGTCTCTAGCGGCCAGGAGCGGAGATGAGGCTGTTGTTTGGGGCTGTGACAGCCTGGGAATTCCAGAGTCCTCATGGTGACCTGATCACTTGTTCCTCGGAAATAACAAGCGAATAAGCGACAGCAGCCACAGACCCTAAGATTCCTGCCACACAGGACACACCTGTCATCAGGAGGTTAGAGGCTCCGGTGGGAAGAGTTCTCCCAACACTCTGGTAAGGCAGGCATCGTGGGCTCTACTTAGAGATGGAGAGGAATGAAGAAGAGCCCCAAGGTATTTTCTGCTCTCAGATGGCCCCCAAATGTGGTAGTTGCACTTCTCAGGGCTCGTTCGCTGGTTAGGCTCATACACTATCGTCGTCACTTTAATGGCTATTTATACAAGTCCATGTTAGAAAAAAATCATAGATACGGCCAGGGCATGAAATCTGGTGTGTCTTGATCAAAGGTGCTTGGAGTGTTGTGTGCTCCAGCTGAACGTGAACACCCATCTGCTCACACATCTGACATTTCCCTACACCCGTGTCCCCCCCATCAGATGGGAAAGCCCCTCCAGGGTGGGAGAACTCTGTCTCTGCAAGCTTTGTGCCCACCAATGTCAGCTCGGCTCCTGCCTGGTTCAGACAAGAGGGGTGTTGATAAAAGTTTGCAGAGTGACTTAATGACCTTCAAGAATATACGATTTTGCAAAAAGGAGACTGAGGCCTTCTGCCCCCTAACTGTTTTCTTGGTGCCCGATCTGCAGATGGGCTGATGCCTAGGTGGGAGGGCCCCTGGAGCACAAGAGGAAATATCCATTCTGCGGACTCTCACGGGCCTCATTCACGGTCATTGTTGCGTCTTGCTTTCTTTTACGTGACGTCTTCAGTAGACATGGCCGCCTTGCCTCCCTAAGTGGTTTGTAAGCTTCTGCTGGAGGTGCCTGGCTAAAAGCGAGGTGTTCCAGGATTCTGGCGGAGAGTCTGCCCCTTCCCTTTTCCAGCTGCTACAGACTTCCCATGTTGCTCTCCCTCCCCCGTCACTTCTCCGACTTGGCCCTTCCGCCACTCTCTTTCACTTATCAGGACCCTTGTGATGATTTTGGGCCAGCCTGCATAATCTAGGACAATCTCCCTCACCCAAAGATCTTTCATTTCATTTAATCTGCACAGTTCCTTTTGCCATGGAAGGTACCGTATTCACAGGCTCCGGAGAGTAGGATATGGATATCTTTGCGGGGGGCGGGGGGGGGGGGGACATTAGTCTGTCGGCCACCTGGAGAAACAGCAGCAGAAGGGACTCTGCTCACAGCCTTCCCGTGCTGCTCAAGAGACGAAGACCAAAGTCCTCTCGGTGGCCCTGGAGCTCTAGATGACACCTCTCTGACCTCATCCCCTCTGCCCAGCCACACTGGCCTCTTGGCTGCCCCCGCCATATCTAAGCCTTTTTCCGCCTCGGAGCTTGGCTGTCCCTCCTCAACCCATCTGTCCTTGGTTTCTATCTCAGATCCCGGCTCAAATGTCATCTGTTCAGAGAGGCCCACCTCTGGGTCTCAACCGGAATGTCCTCTCTGCCCACCCCCACATGCGTCTCCAGCTACTTACTGCCCCATGTTCGCTGCAAGTAGTTTCTGAAATGGTCTGCTTTATTTATTTATTTGTTGCCTGTCTCTCGGGGCAAGAATTTACCCTTTTGGAGATCACCAACGGGGACGGCCTTGCCCACTGTCGGGCCCCCCAGCTCTGAACACCGTGTCTGGGCGCTTTGTAGGTGCCCAGCATGGGTCACTGTGTGCCCGCCAAGACTGGCCAGAGCAGGCAGGGCGGAGGGGGCAGGGCAGTCCTGCCCGCCTGGACAGCTGGAGAAGGCGGGAAAACGAGGCGGGAAAACCCAGCAAACAAGCCCTGCGGGTGGGTAGGGTGGGGAGCTCTAGCAGGTCCTGACGCCAGGAAATAGAGCTTGGGGCGATCGGGCTGGCCACCGGGACGCGGGCGGTCTCGAGAGGGGCCCCCACATTCTATTGCAGTGTTTAAACCTTGATTCCGGCCTTCCTTGCCCTACTGTCAGTGCGTGCCCGTGCCCGGGGAGAGGGGCTGTGGGAAAGGAATTAAAAGGTCAGGGGATCTCTGCCCGGGGTCTCTCCGTAGGGCCCCTGAGGGACACGCACAGTTAGGGGGGCCCAGCTCCCGCCACTGGGCCGGGTTGCACACTGGGCGCGCCCAGCAGAGCGCGCAGGGCTGGGCGGGGCCGTGGCCGGCTGGGCGGAGTGGGGCTGGATAGAGGAGGGGGCGCCCCCCACCCCCTTTCTCGCTTCCCGCCACTGCAGCGGCCAATCACCAGGCAGGCGCCCGCCCCTGGCGCGGCCTCCCGCGGCCCCGCAACTCCCAAACGCCGAGTTTTCGCGGGAAAAAAAATCAGAGCGGCTGGCAACGCGGCGGGCAGGGGTGGCCGTCCAGGCGCTCCGGGTTACAGGCGGGTCGGCGCGGGGTCCGGGGCCACATACGCGTCTCCATCGCCATCCTCAGCCGGGCCAGGCGCGCAAGCAGGAGAGCGGAGCGGGGCGCCCGGAGAGGTGAGGCTTCGGGCGGATCGGGGTGCTATCCCGGGCCGGGGGCAAGGGCCCGGTGCACCGGGCGCGGAGACTTTGGAAAACTTTCCCGAGCGGCCCGGGGACGCGCGGCGAGCGCGGGCGCACGCATGCCCCGCGGCGTGGCTGTTCCGCACGCCGTCTCGGGCTCTGCCCCGGCCCCGCCGGCCCTCGGGAACCGTCCTTAGCAGCCCGGGCGCCGGCCGGGGAGAGGGGAACATCCCCAGAGCCCCGCGGGGGTCGCGCCCGCTGGGTGGGGGAGGGCCTGGTGAGCCGCAGGGGAGGATGTCAGGCTCCGCGCCTGCGCGCGGGGCGCCCCGCGATTCAATTGTCGCGCCCGAGCCCGATTTCGCGCGCCCTTAGTTCCCCGGGCGCGCCTGGGCCAATGGGGAGCGAGCGGGGCGGGGCAGCCGGGCGCGGCGGAGCCAATAAGAGAGGCGGCTCAAGTGAAGGGGGGCGGGACTTGGCGCGCGGGGCCCCTCGGCCGGTCCCGGCGGTGGGGGTGGGCGTGGGCTAGTTGGCGTGGCCCGAGCGGACGGGCGGGAGAATAAGAGGGGCCCGGAGTCCGTGGGTCGCGGTGCCGGGGACGCGAGACTGCCCGCGAGGCCGCGGTGGGGCCGAGGTGAGTCGCGCGGCGCGCGCGGGGGCGGCCGGGACGGGGCGGCCGGTTGCCATGGCCACCGCGGGGCCGGGCGCGGCGCGCGCGCACGGGGGTGGCGGGGGGGCCGCCGGGGTCGGGGGCTCGGGGGTCTGGGCGTGGGGGTCCTTCCCTTTGGGTCACACTTAGTTGAGTTGCTGGGACTTCCGAAGTTCCAACCCGCGCCGGACTTTTGGGTTTTCCCCTTAGCGTCAGTATTAATTCAGGGAATGAATGAATGAATGAATGAATGAATGAAGAAAGAAATTAATGAACGAACCTGGTCCCTCATCATTTGGCCGTGTCCTCCTTCCTCCTCTGGACACTATTGTCTTCCCTCTGTGAACGCGGAGTGGGTCGGAGTGCGTGGTCCGAGACGCCGATTGCCTTCCCCTAATTTCCTCTCGCTCCTCGCCCCTCCGCCCTTGCTGGTCATTAATGCATTAATTCCTTCACTTCCTCTGCCGGCCCCTGGCCAGCTGTGGCTAGTCCGGGGACTCGCGCGCCGGGAGGGCGTTCGAGGAGTTTCCTCGTGTCCTCAGGGTGGACAAAAGCCCGAGGTGACCTGAGAACGGCCCGGGCTGCTGGGGGCGGCAGCAGCAGAACTGACCTAGGGTCCCGCTCTCTCCCGCTCAGCACCAGCAGACACCATGTGGATCCAGGTTCGCACCATGGACGGCAAGGTGGCCCACACCGTGGACTCGCTGTCCAGGCTGACCAAGGTGGAGGAGCTGAGGAGGAAGATCCGGGAGCTGTTCCACGTGGAGCCCGGCCTGCAGAGGCTTTTCTACAGGGGCAAGCAGGTAAACCCGCCCCGCCGGCTGCCGCCTGCCCAGCACCTTTGTTCTTGGCTGGTCCAGGCGCCGTACACACTCTCTCCCCGCCCCTCGTCCGGTCCCGCTTCACGTCTCCACAGAAACCTCAGATGCCTGAGCCAGGAACAAAGGCTCCACTGGGCAGATCGACACACCGGGGCAGGAAGCTGGCACTCCGGTCCGTAGCACTGGGGCTTTAACTCTGCCTTCCCTGCTTTTTTGAAGCTCCCCTCCCAGTAATTCCTAGAGAAAAGAAGTTGGAGGTGGCCGGTGGAGGACGGATCAATTTCGAGGGACGAGCCTCGAGTCGTGGCTCAGACAGTAGGACTGAAGGGAGCAGGGTTTTCTTTGCAACCCGTGCTGCTGGCCCCACGGCCTGCACCATGTAGAGTCTGACCCCACAGAGCGGGTTTTCGGGAAATTTGGATCCGCTGGTTCAGAGTCCGGAGATAGGCTTGCTCGCCAGGAATTTCCGCCGCTCTGGGCCTGCCCCGCGGAGTGAGGTCGTGCTCTCCTCGGGTCTGCGGGCCCGGTTTTCCATCCCCTTTCTTCTCGCTCTCTCCCCGGGCCCCTGGTGGCGTTTAAAATGGCCACCCTTGCCTTCCCAGCTGCCCACACTTGGGACGCTTTCTCCAGGGGCAGCAGCCGGGGGGGGGGGGCAGGGGGGGTTTCCGTTCTTGTCGCGGTCTTGGGGGCGGTGGCGCAGTCTGTGAGTGGGGTTTCCCTGGGCGTGGGATAACCTAGCACGACAGAGTGTCCGTCCCATCTAGAGGGGCCTTCCGAGAGCTGGGTGCACGGTAGGGACAGCGGTGTAGCGACTGTACCGGATTAAAAAAAGTCTTCAGTTGGGTTGCGCGTGCCTGACTTTGTTGTTGCATTTGAACTGGGTTCTGCCGCCATCTGGTGTCTCGACTGAGAAATCAGCGCCGCGCCTGGCCCGAGGTTTTTGGGGGCTGGGAGGATCCAGGGTGCTTCGTGCGAAGTGAGACCTGATGATTAATTTCTTGGGCCTGTGGTGCCCTTGGGAGACCTTTCACCTCCTTCCTGTGACAGATAGGATGACTCGAACGTCTGGAGAATTGGAATTAACCGCCCTGCTTGGGTAGGGGAAGCCGGTCTGCGAACTCGGGATGTGACTGTTCAGTCGCCTTGCGCCTTCGCAAAAGGCAGGGCTGTGAGTAAGTTCTGCCGAGGCGCCAGCTTCCGCCGCCTCCGACGATTCATTTCCGTGGCATCCAGGCCGACTTTGATTAGCCATGCAGTCTCTTTGTTGAGCGGAGTTTCTGAGAAGCTCCCAAACAGGTCCCGGGGTAATTCAGAGGTGGGCCGGATCCAATCCTCTCAGGTTTGAAAAGCTGTGAGCTTCTCCCAGGTGCTGCCCGTTAACAGCCGATACGTTTCAAGCCTGCAGAAAAGTTGCGAGAGCCGTGAACACCTAAGCACCCAACCCCTAGGCCTTCCCACGGACGCCTTGTTTCCCCATTCGCGTCTGTGTTTGCGTCTCCGAATTCACGTTACTGAACCTTTCTCTGCCCCCCTTCCTTCTGTCCCCCAAGCCACTGTATCTTTTGGAATGCATTTCAAAGTAAGTTGCAGACACTAGTTCACGCTGCCTCTAAACACTTGAGCACGCCTGTCATTAACTAGAGTTCAAGATCGGTTTGTGTGTGGTTGGTTTTTCCTTTTTTTTTTTTTTAGGTAGCATTTGTTTATAGTGAGATAGGTGCACCTAAAGCAGACCCTTTGGAGTTCTGACAAACGTCTACGCCCACATAATCAACCCCCCATTTCCCTCCATTCGTAAGGTGAGATCCGATCCGTACGGAAGTCCTCACAACTCCTAAGTTGTGAAGCCTGATGCTAACGGGAGCAGCTGCGGGAGTTAGACACGTACGTTGTACCTTTAATCTTCAGGACGTCAGCGATGAGAGACGGGCCCCACACGGCAGCTTTGTGAGGGAACGTGTCGTCACTTCTGGCTTCCGGATAAGGAAGCCGGGCCTGGAGCGTGATGCAACTTCCCCAAGGATGCAGGGTGAGGCCCTGGCCCGGCTGCCGGCTGCCGGGAGGGGCTGAGGGCGGAGGACAGGGACAGAGGCTTATAACAGCACCTCTGTGAGTTAAGTCTTCAAACAGACCAGGCAAACAGGCGATAGAAAGCTGTGCAGTTTTCACTGGGGCCAAGAGCGCTGTTTTTACAGACTGTTCTAGAGTCCTCGCAGTCCTTCCTTTTTTTTTTTCTTTTTTTCTTTTTTTTTGCTCCTCCCTTTTAAAGAAACATGCAGTAGTCCCCGGTCTGGTCTGCAGTGAGGTTGATTGAGACGATAAAGCAGAAGCTAGCTGAGTCTCCAGGATATGGGAGGGTTTCGTGGCCGGCTTGTTTAGGCTGAATAGGTTGGCGGTTATGTCGCTTGATTGGCGGAAATGCAAGAAGGCGGAATGGGGGCAGGGACCCGTGCGGCAGGCCCAGCCTGGGCACGGGTGAGAAGCATCTGGCGCCTTTTTTTTTTTTTTTTTTGGCTGCCCATAAAAATAACAATGGCTGTCACTCGTGGTGACTTGAGTTCAGGTGCAGCCCTCTCTTCTTTACATAACCTTCCCAAGTTCCCTGCCCAGGTGGCTGCCGCTCTCCCTGCCAGCTCGCGGCCTGGTAAGAGTGCAGGGCGGTCATGGCCAGGCCCGGCCGGTTCGCGGTAAAGGTGCAGTGAATCAGACAGCTCTGGGTTTCTCCCTCGGCCTTGCTGATCCTGGGGGCCGGCTCCAGTCGCTGCCACTTGAGAAGTCCTAATTTAGTAGATAATTTACTTTAGGAAAACAGCTGAATGGGCCTCACTGGCCTCAAAAGGCGTGTTAAGGACAGTCTGAAGGATCGGTCCAGATGGTACCCTAGGAACGGCCTTGAGAGGGCCACTTGTGTCCTAGCATCCTCAAATTGGCTTTTCCTGAACGTTGTCCTGGATGTCCTGAAGGGCAGGACTCTGTGCGAGAGAGGGTCCCCTTTCTTCCCCCACAAGGGGGGAGGGGGGAGCTCTCAGCTGGAGGGCATTCCCTCTAAGCCAGGTCAGGAAACCCCTTATGTAAATATTTGTCTCCCTGAGGCCTGCCCTCTGAGCAGTGGACGCAGCCACAGATAGGATGCAAATGAAGGGGCGTGGCTCAGGACGAGCCCAATAAAACTTTATTTACAAAAAACAGGTGCAGGCCAGACTGTCACACCGGCTGTAGCCTGCCAGTTACACCCCATCCCGCTTCCACCCGGAGTCTGGGGTTCCTGTTAGGAACCGCACTGACATGGAATGTACTAGAACAGGTCCCCTAGGGCCCCGTGTTGCTGAGATTCTCGCCCGGGCAGGGGTGGGCAGGCTGTGGTCTCAGAGCCCCTTCAACGTTGCCTCCAGAGGCCTCGACCCCACAGAGCTACTGCTGATGAGCAGGGGTCGTGCGTAGCTTTGAGGTGCTGCTCTGCTCTGCCTTCCCTGCCCTGTGACCCGGGGAGGCCTGTTCCCCCTGCCGCATCTGGGCTCCAGCTTCACGCGTTTGCTTCTCTCCCGTCTCTGTCCTTGTGTCCTCCGTGTGTCCTCCGTGTCGGGTTGCTGCAGGGGGGGGAGGGGCCGGGGCTGCGCCCCCAGGAAGGACTGCGGAACCGCTAGTTTCCTGCTTCCTACCCCCTCCCAGCTTGCCCGCGGGCCCCGTCAGTGCTCCCTCTCCTCCTCCAGCTGCGGGCCCCCCCTTGCCACGAGGCTCAAGGCCCTTGTTAAGCCCCTCCTGGCGACCATCCCCTCCACCTCTTGCTGAAACCGCTGCTTTGAGCGGACTGGAGGGTCACTGGTCGTCAGGCCCTGGGGCGTGTGTTTCCTGCCCTTGTGCCTCTGGGCAGCACCCTGCACCCTGAAAAGTACACCTTGAAATGGTCACGAGGGGGCAGAGGGTGGGCAGCAGTGGTAGGCGTGGCCACTTTTTAATCCATTTCCAACAGGAGCCAACTGCTTAGAAGTCAAATCGAGTACATGTTTGTTTTGCTTTTACGCGGCAAGTGTGGCTGAAAACTCCACACGTCCAGAGAGCATCCTTGACTTGGATTAAAAAAGACAGCGACGCCTGGGTGGCTCTGCTGGGTGTCTGACTCTTCATGTTGGCTCAGGTCACACTCTCATGGTCTCGGGATTGAGTCCCGAGTTGGGCATGCAGAGCCTGCTTGAGATTCTCTCTCTCCCCCTCATCCTCTCTCTCCTGCTTGCTTTTGTTCTCTCTCCCTCTAAAAAAGGGACAGACAGACAGACATAAATACTGTGGGCAGTTTTGCCTTTAGACCTGAACTGTGGTACACGCCGTTATCTGCCCCAAACCACGCGTACATGTTCTAGTATAGGTAGTTCGGGAGATTTTTCAGTGCAAAGTTTGGTTCTACGAGATGTTAACTTCAAGTTTAATTTTAACGTTAGGACCGTTAACATGAGGTGCAGATCACCTGCCGTTCAGTTTTTGTACTTTTTATTCATGCCATTAGTCACTATTGGAATTTTAGGATCCTTTTTTTTAAGGTTTTATTTTTATTTATTTCTTAATGTCTATTTATTTTTGGGACAGAGACAGTGTGTGAGCAGGGGAGGAGGAGAGGGAGAGGGAGAGGGAGACACAGAATCTGAAGCAAGCTCCAGGCTCTGATCTGTCCGCACAGAGCCCAATGTGGGGCTAGAACTCCTGAACCGTGAGATCATGACCTGAGCCCAAGTCGGACGCTTAACTGACTGAGCCACCCAGGTGCCCCAGGATTTTATTTTATTTTATTTTATTTTATTTTATTTTATTTTATTTTTAATGTTTTATTTTTTATTTCTAGGAGAGAGAGAGAGAGAGACAGCATGAGCAGGGGAGGGCCAGAGAGAGAGGGAGTCACAGACTGAAACAGGCTCCAGGCTCTGAGCCGGCAGCCAGCACAGAGCCCGACGCGGGGCTCGAACCCACGAACCGCGAGATCGTGACCCAAGCGAAAGTCGGACGCTCAACCGACTAAGCCACCCAGGCGCCCCCCCAGGATTTTATTTTTAAGTAATGTCTACATCCGGTGCGGGGCTCAAACTCACAACCTTGAGATCAAGAGTCGCGTGCTTCACCCACTGAGCTGGTCAGAGGCTCTGGAATTTTAGGATCTTGAAAATGAATCCAAACGTGGAATGTTCCAGCCCCAGGTCTGGGCCCAGCCTTGCTGCCTCATGGTTCTTGAACAGAACATTTGTGCATGGCTCTGGGCAGGCAGGGTGGAGGGAGAGGGGCACACGACACCTACAGATGGTTGTGTAAGCTTCCTGCTGGCTGTGAGGGAGGCCCTGCTGGAACCTTCCAGAAGTGGCCTCAGGAAGCAGCCAGGCCAGCTTGTGAATTATGCGCTCGCAGTGCCCCCTCTGCGCAGCCTGATGCCCCCTCTCCCTCCCCCATTTCTGCCTCTGTCGGAGTCCTTGCCCCTGCTTGGAGCCTGGCTTCTCGATTGTGGACCCGAGGGGCCTGGGGCCGCTCGCCCTGGTTTCAGCTTCTCTGCCCCTGGCTCTGCGGCGTCCAGGTGCCTCGATTTTAGGGTTTATTTCCGGTCCTCTGAATCATCTTTGTTTCCCTTGATGAGCGTGGGAGCGCGTCTGTTGCTGCGTTTCCCCGTCGTGCAACCCGATAGCGCACCTTCGTGTGATAAAGCCACGTTTCTCCTGCAGATCGTGCTGCCGGGAACGTGCCATGAGGTCACTGTACGAGCCTCTCAGGCACATGTCATGGTCCCTCTAGCTCAGTGGTTCCCCTGGGGGGTGATTCTGCTCTTCTGGGGACATCTGGGGCTGTCAAAACTGGGAGGGCTCCTGGCTTTGAGTGGGTGTGGGTCAGGGATGCTGTTCAGCCCCCATGGTGCCCAGGATGCCCCTGGAGAGCGATGTCCGCCATGCCAAGGGGCATCTGCATCACCAAGGGGCTGGGCCCCAGAGCACAGGTGTCTGTTCCTCCTTTATAAGGCCTTTTGGGCTGCCTCCAACTGGTTTCCTTGTCCCCGTCACACCGGGGACACTTGTTTCTCTCCATCTTTTTACTTTGGTTTTTTTAAAATTTATTTTTATTTTTATTTATTTCTAGGAGAGAGAGAGAGAAAGACAGCATGAGCAGGGGAGGGTCAGAGAGAGAGAGGGAGATACAGACTCTGAAACAGGCTCCAGGCTCTGAGCTGGCAGTCAGCACAGAGCCCGATGCAGGGCTCGAACCCACGAACCGCGAGATCATGACCTAAGCGAAAGTCGGATGCCCAACCGACTAAGCCACCCAGGCGCCCCACTTTGATTTTCTTAAATGTTAATTTTTGGAGAGAGAAAATGACAGCGTGAGTGCCGGGGAGGGGCAGGAAGAGGGAGACAGAGGATCAGAAGCAGGCTCTGTGCAGATGCAGACATGCGGCTCGAACTCCTGAACCATGAGATCATGACTTGAGCCAAAGTCGGATGCTTTAAAAAAAATTTTTTTTTTAAATGTTTTTTACTTATTTCTGAGAGAGAGAGAGAGAGAGAGGGAGTGTGAGCAGGGGAGGGTCAGAGACAGAGGGAGACACAGAATCCAAAACAGTCTCCAGGCTCTGAGATAGCTGTCAGCACAGAGCCCGACATGAGGCTCAAACCCACAAACCATGGATGGGATCATGACCTGAGCCGAAGTTGGACACTTAACCGACTGAGCCACCCAGTCACCCCTGGACGCTTAAATTGAGCCTCCGCGATGCCCGTCTATCTTTTTAAATTAATGAACTTACTAGTTGTGAACTCCTATTTATTTAGTTTTGTTGTTTTTTTGAGAGATTGCCAGTTGGGGAGGGGCAGAGAGAGGGAGGGAGAGAATCCTGAGCAGTGTAGAGCCCAGCGCGAGGCTCCATCTCACGGTGGCCAGGTCATGTGCTGAATCTTCAGTTCTCTGCAGTATTAGGAGGGTTCAGAGGTTTCCCGTACACCCTGCCTCCCCCAACGCTGGCCCCCAGCTGTCACATCCCAGTTAGGGCGGCTCGTCTGTTACTTCAGTGCAGTTGACATTAGGTTTCCTTCCGGACATGCGTTCTGTGGGTTTGGACAAATGTCCCCACCACTGTGGATCAGAGGAGCCTCACTGCCCTGAGACTAAACTCCTCGGTGCCACGCCTGCTCAGTCCCTCCTCACCCAGCCCCTGCTGTCTCCATAGTTTTGCCTTTTCCGGAATGTCCCAGAGCTGGAATCACACAGTATGCACGTTTCTTGGACTCCTTTTTTCTCTTAAAAAAACAAAAAACAGAACAGCTTTACTAAGATGTAATTCACATACCACACAGCTCACCCGCTAAACTGCACAGCTCGGTGTTTTTTACTATATGCACAGGTTAGTGCATCCACCACTACAGTCCAGTGTAGAATATTCCATGACCCCAAACGGAAGCCCCATCCATGGGGTGCCGGGGTGGCTCACTCAGTTAAGGCTCGGACTTCGACCCAGGTCATGATTTCGCAGTTTGTGAGCCCGAGCCCTGTGTCGGGCTCTGTGCTGACAGCTCAGAGCCTGGAGCTGCTTGGGATTCTGGGTCTCCCCATCTGCGCCCCTGTGCTGCTTGTGCTCTCTCTTTCAAAAATAAATAACCTCAAAAAAAAAAAAAAGCCCCCCACCCTGCTAGTTGTTACTCCCTGCCCCCACCCTTCTCCCAGCCACCGGCCCCCATGAGCCCCTTTGCGTCTGTGGAGGAGCCTGTGCTGGACGTGTCACGCACGTGGACTCACACACGCGTGGCCTCTCGTGCCCGGTTCCCTCCCTGAGCGTCGTGTGTTCGGGGTCCGTCCGCGGGGCGGCGGGTGGGGGCTCCTCGCTCCTGCTTGTGGCCGAGGGACGTGCGCGCACCTGAGGTGCCTGTGCAGTGGACGCACCTGAGGGACCTGCGCGTGCGCGGTGGACGCACCTGAGGGACAGGAGCGTGTGTGACGGATACGTGGTGTGTATCCATTCTCCCCGTTGGTGGCCGTGGGGTTGTTTCCACCCTTGGGCTGCCGTGAGCCCTGGGGCTGTGCACATGCGTGCGTAGGTTGACTCTTCCTTCCCGTCCGTGTTCCTGGTGACCACTGTCCTGTGCTGGCCCTGTGATGGAGGGCAGACATCATGCCCCCCCGCCTTGGCCTCCCCGCAGTACTCTGGAGGCTCTACCTTCACGCCCGGTGAACAGGCTGAGGGACAGGGCTGCTGAAGCCCCTGGGCCGTCCTCAGATGCGTTTTTTTTTGGGGGGGGGGAGGTGATATTTCGTTAGCATCTTTGGGCTGTGGGTCTGTCACAGATGGTTTTGGACCCTGGGTCTTGAGTGTAACACGACCGTTGGCGGCAATCGGACCTTTGAACCACTAACTTCCGGTGAATTGGAAGGAAGGAAAGTTGGTTATTTGTGTATCTGTTGCCTTTTGTCTTCATTGTCTTTAGGACCCTGCCTCTGAACCGGGGAGTTCTGCCCTCAGGGGACTCAGGGGACCGTGGGCGGTGTCGTGGGCGGTGTCTAGGGACGTCTGTGGTTGACCAGGAGTGTGTGTGGTCAGGACTGCTGTTCCCCTGCGGTGCCCGGGACGCCCTGTGTGTCCGCATTGCAGACACCTGCCTTAGGGCGTCTGGAGAGGACGGGGTGGGGGGTGCGGGGCACTGAGGGTCATTGTTGGGGGCTGGCCGAGTGCCCCGGGACAGTTTGTAGTAAAAGATAACTCCATGGCCTTTTGAGCCACCAGGAGGCGGCTAGGAAGATAAACTTCACAGGCCCCTTGCCAGGACACGCCCGGGGTGGCCAACTTGGGTTTGCTGGTGGTGGAATTAGGAGAAAGCAGCTGGCGGAGGGGGCGGAGCCAGAGCCTTCAGAGAACCTGGTGAAGGTTGGGTGTGTGTCTCCTTGGGTTCATCTAGGACACGGCCTCCTCCTCGGCCCCGGTGACACTGGGGCTGGGTCCTTTCCTGTTGTGGGGGCTTCGCAGGCATTGCCCTGGTCGTGACAACCAAAGCGATCCCAGGTCTTGTCAAGTGTCATCCTGAGTGAGACCCGCTTGGTTAGCGGGTTCCATTGATCCCCGGGAGTCTCCTGTGTTCTGTAATGTTACGACTGGCTTAGGCGCTCGGGCGGTGCACACGTTTAAATATGCTCACTGAGTGGAGGGAGAGAGGGGGTGGCCGCCCTGGTCTGGAGCGTTGGACCCTGTGGGGGTTTACTCTGCTGTCAGGTGTGAGCAGGGACTGGACTCCATTTCCCCCCTTGAATAACTAGTGCACAGTTTCTCTGCCTTGACACGGTAGCCTGCTGAGCCAGGAGACCTCACCCAGTGTTCCCTGGAGGGCAGAATTCCCCTCAGTTTAGAACCAGTGATTAGGTAGTGCGTTTTTATTGTAATACAAGTTACGAAAGACAGAATGTTAAGAAAACTGCCCTGGGGCGCCTGGGTGGCTCAGTTGGTTAAGTGTCAACTCTTGATTTCAGCTCAGGTCACGATCTCCTGGTTCATGAGTTTGAGCCTCCAGTCGGGCTCTGTGTTGACAGCTCAGAGCCTGCTTGGGATTCTCTTTCTCTCCTGCTCTTTCTCTGTCTCTCACAGCAAAAAAAAAACATTCAGAAAAAAGAAACAAAACCGCCCCTGGCGAAACAAAACCCTCCCCTGCACAGGAGGGTTATGCAGCGTGTTCACAGAACATTCACTCTATCACGCAGGGAATATCCTTCGAGAAGGCGTGAGGGCCCCGAAGGAAGGGGTGACCACGTGCACCCCTGGGAGCTGAGGTCTTCCTGTCCCGTAATCTTCTCTAGATCCTGTCCTCTGCGGGGGCACATGTGGCACTTTGCTGTGGCGGAGTCCTGCCCAGGACCGAGGGTGAGGCGAGCGCTGAGTGACCGGCAGGCTGGTGACCCTTGCCTTGGTGTCTCTGCAGATGGAAGACGGCCACACCCTCTTTGACTATGACGTCCGCCTGAACGACACCATCCAGCTCCTGGTCCGCCAGAGCCTGGTGCTGCCCCCCAGCGGCAGCAAGGAGAAGGACTCCGAGCTGTCAGACACGGACTCGGGCTGCTGCCTGGGCCAGAGCGAGTCAGACAAGTCCTCCAACAGTGGTGAGGCGGCCTCGGAGGCGGACGGGAAGGCGGGCTTAGCGGATGAAGACGTGTGGGATGAGACGGAGTTGGGCCTGTACAAGGTGAGTCTCGCACAGAACGTTTGGGGCTGAGTGTGGGCCCTGCCTGGCCAGTCCCTTCGCCTTCGGGCCCCCAGTAGCCTGCCCCACGCCCCTGTGTCGTCCCTGGCTTCCCAGTAGCCCGACTGCGATCTCGGGGTGAGGGGGGCGGGCTGCACTCATTCCCTTGGCTGGGCCCCCTGGTCCTGCGGGGAAGATCGCCCGTGGGTGGGTTCCTGGAGCATCCCTGTAGGAACAGAACATTCCAGCATTCCCTTGTGATCCTTGCCAGCGAGTCTTGTGTCTGGGTTTGGCGGGGGGCTTCTGTGCCCTTCCCAGGGGCCGTAAAACCTCTGAATTCGCTGCCGCCCTGGAGATCAGGTAGCATTACATGAAGATGTGGGTTCCCAGTTTGTCTTGAAGGACCCTCCCCGGGCTGCAGAGCAGAGTGATTCTGTCCCCAGGGGACACTTGGTCACATTTGGGGGCGTCTGTGGCTGTCACCACTGTGGGTGCTCCTGGCGTGGGTGGGTGGGGGCCAAGGCTGCTGCTCCGTCCCCATCAGCACCCGGACGCCCCCACCCGGGGGGACGACCAGGCCCTGATGTCAGCAGGACCGTGGCCAGGAAAGCCCGTCCTGGGCGCTCGCGTTTGCATCTGGGTCCTGTGGCGTCGGGTGCCCGAGGACTCCAGCAGTCTGTGGTCGGTGTCCCTGATCGGACGTTCCTTCTCTGGGCTACACGAGAGTGTTTTGTCGCCCCCGGCAGGTCAATGAGTACGTGGACGCCCGGGACACCAACATGGGGGCGTGGTTCGAGGCGCAGGTCGTCCGGGTGACCAGGAAGGCGCCTTCTCAGGACGAGCCCTGCAGCTCCACGTCCAGCGCGGCGCTGGAAGAAGATGTCATTTATCACGTCAAATACGATGAGTGAGTGTCCCTAGGGGCAGCGAGGCCGGGGTGTTGGCTCCTTGTGTGGGGCCTGGAGTTTGGCACTGCCTCGGGGATGATGGTGGGGACGCGGGGACCTCCGTCTGCTCGCTATCAAACTGCACAGGAGGCCACCCCTCGAGGACCCACCAGGCTGGGCCCCCTCGGTCATCTAGTTGGAACTGAGCCCCACCCACCCCCACTTCCTGTTCTGTGTCCCACGTGTCCCCACCGCACAGAGCCTCTGAGTCTCTCGTCCCTCCCTTGGCGGAGCACACACCTAGTTCTTAGCGCTTCCTGCGCGCGGCCCGGTGGCCCGGTCTGTGCACGGAGAGGGCCTTGATGTGTTGAGTGGCCATCACCAGACTGTGCGGGCTGGGCGGCTAGAGCCCCACAGTTCTAGAGGCTGCAAGTCCAAGATCATGGTGCCGTCAGGCTCTTCTGGCGTGTGGACGGCCACCTTCCCACCATCCTCACGTGGCCGCCTTGTCCTCTGTGGGGCCGAGAGAGCAGCCCTTGTGGCTCCTCCTCCTCGAAGGACGCCAGGCCCCTCGAACCAGAGCCCCCCTCGATGACCCTGCTCAGCTCGCTAAAGGCCCCCCCCCACGTGCAGTCCCATTAGGGGTCAGGGCTTCGGCATGGGGACTTTGGGCGACATAGATCCGTCCATGACAGAGGACACGCGCGCCTCCCCACAGAGAGCTTATGTTCTGGGGTGGGGGCCGGGGGGCAGGGCCTCGTCTGGTTCCTGCCAGTTTGTGGCACATCCTAAACTTGGCTTTTCAGAAATTCTAGGAATAGTCGGATGAGGGAGTCCATCCCCACAGGCCCCAGCCTCTCGGGTGGGGTTAGCGGTGAACGGCGGCCTTTGGGCCAAGTCTGCAGCCCGGCCCGGCCTGGATTGTAAAGACAGCTTCCGGGGCGCCTGGGGGGCTCAGTTGGTTAAGCGTCCGACTTTGGCTCAGGTCATGATCGCAGGGTCCATGGGTTCGAGCCCTGTGTTGGCCTCTGTGCTGACAGCTCGGAGCCTGGAGCCTGCTTCAGATTCTGTGTCTCCTTCTCTCTCTGCCCCTCCCCTGCTCACGCTGCCTTTCTCTGTCTCTCAGAAATAAATAAAAAAGGAAAAAAAAAGCTTCCCCCGCACATCGGCGATGCCTGTTTGTTCCTGTACCACCTGTGGCTGTTTTCCTGGTCACGGGCGTTGAGTAGTTAGAAACCTGCCAGCTTCCAACGCTGAGAACGTTCACTGTCTGACCCTTGGGGGGAGAGTTCGGCAGCCCTTGCTCTCAAAGATTTACTGGAGAAAATGGGGCGCTAGGCACTGCGGGCAGGTGTAGATTTAGGGGTTCCCTTCAGCTGAGGCGCAGCCTTGTTGGTAGAACGATTCTCTCAGCCCAATTACTTTATGCTGAGCCTGCTAGAATATTCCTGCATATCTGGAATCATGAATCCTTTTTTTTTTTTCATGTTTTTTCTAATGTTTTATTTATTTCTGAGAGAGAGACGGCATGAGCAAGGGAGGGGCAGAGAGAGAGGGAGACACAATCCAAACCAGGCTCCACGCCCTGAGCTGTCTGATGGTGGGGCTCAAAACTACAAACAGTGAGATCATGACCTGACCTGAAGTTGGACGCTTAACCGACTGAGCCACCCAGGCACCCCTGGGAAGTTTATTTCATTTCCTTGGGAAATACCCCCCCAGTTTTATATTTATTTACCTTTTTATTTTTTTTAATGTTTTATTTAATTCTGAGAGAGAGAGAGAGAGAGAGACTGCATGAGTGGGGTGGGGCAGAGAAAGAGGGAGACACAGAATCTGAAACAAGCTCCAGGCTCTGAGGTGTCAGCACAGAGCCAGACGCGGGGCTCAAACTCCTGAACCATGAGATCATGACCGGAGCTGAAGTCAGACGCTTAACTGACTGAGCCACCCAGCCACTGCGTGTCATATTTCCATTTCTTAATAAGGACACCAGTCATTGCATTTAGGGTCCCCCCCCCCCCAGCATGACCTCCTCTTGACATGTTCAGAGACCCTGTTTCCAAGCGAGGTCCCCTTCCCAGGTGTCAGCAATTAGGGCTCCCCACGTGTTGTCCTGGGGACACACAGCTGAACCCACAGCACCTTCCATAATAGGGGCGGGTCTCTTATGGCTGTGGATTTTCCATACCAGTAACTGAGGGGACTTCACGGGCCCCGTGATCAAGGTGACCCAAACCCATGCTGGCACGGCCGTTTCTGCGTTGGCCTCTGTCTCCTGTCGGGCACGCAGTCGGGTGTCCCCGTGGATCTAAGGGCGGCGTTTCCTCCCAGCTACCCGGAGAACGGTGTGGTCCGCATGAGCTCCCGTGACGTCCGGGCCCGCGCCCGAACCATCCTCAAGTGGCATGAGCTAGAGGTCGGCCAGGTGGTCATGCTCAACTACAACCCCGACAATCCCAAGGAGCGTGGCTTCTGGTACGACGCGGAGATCCTGCGCAAGCGCGAGACGCGGACGGCGCGGGAGCTGTACGCCAACGTCAGGCTCGGGTGAGTGCCGCGCGGGGCCCCAGGACTGTGCGGCCAGAGCTGCCTTGGTGAGTCCCCACCTGGGGGGCCGTCTCCAAACCCCGGGCCCCGATGGTGGGGATTTCAAGGTACCTTTCTCTCTTTTTTGTGCGGTCTTGAATTTGGTCAATAGGTAATCATCTCAAGTGGGTCAGAACCTGAGAAGGACTGAAGGAATGTTCTCCCCTCATCCACTCCTTTCTGGAGACGTCTCTCCTCTGTTGCCTTCGGTGCATCGCAGCATAAACACGCATGACTGCAAAGCACACGGAGGGCGTACCCCCCACCTCCTGGCTCAGCAAACTGCAGTCCATAGACCAGATCCGGCCCCCGGCCTGTTTTGGCCAATAAAGTTTTATTGGTGGACAGTCATATCCATCTCTTTAGCGGTTATCTGTGACTGCTTTGGTGTCACAAGGGCAGAGTTGACTAGTTGGGAAAGAGACCGTGTGGGCTGTAAAACCCAAAATAGTTTCTGTCTGGCCCTGTGCAGGAAGTGTTTGCCAAGCCCTATTCTACCTTGCCTCTGTGGGCGTGTGTGTGCATGCGCGAAAATATATGTAACAGAAAATTTACTATCTGAACCATATTTAGACACACAGCTCAGCAGCATCAAACATACTCATGCTGTTGTGCAGCCATCCCCACCATCTGTCTCTAGAACTTTCCATTTTCCCAAACTGAGACTGTCCCCATGAAACGCTGCCCACTCCCTGCCCCACCCCTGGCTTCCCCCATCTACTTTTTTTTTTTTTTTTTTTTTTAAATATTTTTATATACTTCTAGGAGAGAGAGAGAGAGAGAGAGACAGCGTGAGCAGGGGAGGGTCAGAGAGAGAGGGAGTCACAGACTCTGAAACAGGCTCCAGGCTCTGAGCTGGCAGTCAGCACAGAGCCCGACGCGGGGCTCGAACCCACGAACCGCGAGATCATGACCTAAGCGAAAGTCGGACGCCCAACCGACTAAGCCACCCAGGTGCCCCTCCCCCATCTACTTTCTGTCTCTGTGGATAGGTTGCTTCTAGGGACCTCCTGTGAGTGGAGTCATGCAGGACGTGTCCTTTGGGGTCTGGCTTCTGTCACTGCGTGCGGTGTCTTCTGGGTCCATCCATGTTGTAGTCAGGATGTCCTTGTGGTTGTATAATATTCCATCATATGTATCGTGTATACATATACAAGTACTTGGGTAGCAGCAGCCTAAGGACAGGTACAGCTAGTGCCAAGGTCCTGGGGCAGAGGCATACCTGGTGCATTTGTGGTCTGGGCAGGAAGCAAGTATGGTGGAGTGGAGGGAAAGGAGGTGGGAGGAATCAAGACTCTGGGAGCCTCCAAGCAGTGCAGAGAGGTCTGGAGTTGCTATTCATTCGCTGTTGCGGGCAGTCATGGGCATATTAAAGCATAGGAGCCACACGATTAGACCTAGGATTAAGAATCCTAGGGGCGCCCAGGGGGCTCAGTCAGTTAAGCATCTGACTTTGGCTCAGGTTTTGATTTCACAATTTGTGAGTTCGAGTCCTGCATCAGGCTCTGTGCTGACAGCTCAGAGGCTGGAGCCTGCTTCGGATTGTGTCTGCCCCCCTCTCTATCTCTGACCCTCCCCTGCTTGCGCTGTCTCTCTCTCTCTCTCTCTCTCAAAGATAAATAAAACATAAAAAAATCTTTTTTAGAAGTATTGAGTTTCATTCCCAAGTGTGTGGAGACTTTGGAGCTATCCTTCTGTTTCTGATTTCTAACTGGACTTTATTATGGTCAGAGGACATTCTGTGTATGATTTTACTTCCAAATCTGTTGAGGTTGTTTTGTGGCCCCTGCTAGGGTCTAACTGGGTGAACATTCGGTGGTGCCTTGGGCCGAAGACAAAAGCGTACAGTGTTGGGCGCAGCGTCCCGCTTGAGGCCGTTGGAGCCTGTGCTGCTCCCTGCTCGTCTCTGCAGACTGTCTGTCTGTCTGGGTCCGGTGCTCCGGGGAGCCCGAGGGCCGCCCTCGCTGTGGCGTGTCTGCCCCCCCTGTGCAGTCAGAGGCTCTTGCCTGGTCACACAGCCCTTGGGCAGTGGTGTCCTCCTGGCCAGAGGTGTTTCCCTTGTGCTTTAAGTTCCGTCTGAGGCTCCCTGGCTCCGCGGAGCCGATGACGCAGCTGCTCGGCTTTTCCAAGTTAAGGTTTCCGTGCTTTGTCCTCTTCCTTTGACTTTCAGCCGACGTCATTGAACTTGAAGTGAGGTTCTCCCAAACGGGACACAGTGTGGCTTGTTTTTTAATCAACTTTGCCGTCGTGCCTCTTAATTGTCAGGTTGAGCCCGGTCTGAGTCCCGGTGATCACCGGTGCGCTGCGGCTTTGTGTCCTGTCTCCTCCGTTCCCGGGGCCACGGACGTGTCTCAGGATCCCGTGCGGCCCTGCGTGTGCTCTTATGAGTGTGCCGTGAATGGTCCCCCATGTTTCCCCTGGATTTTACCGCGAACGTGTGACGTATGGGGGGGTCACTTGGCCACTTGGGGCAAAGCGTAGAAAGCTGTCTTCACGTCTGTCCCTGCATCGTCCCCGAGAAGCAGATGGTGTCAGGATCTGCATTTCAGTCCTCCCCCCCCCCCCCCCCCCCCCCCCCCCCGTGACTGAGACGGCGTCGGAGGACAGGCCGCGTACGCGCCCACAGTTCCGCTCGCTCTTGCTGTTCTCTCTCCTCTGCTCCTGAGACGCCTTCCTGTGGGACTTCCTGCCCGTGCGAAGAGCCGCCTTCCCTGCCCTGTCAGGGCGCGTCTGCCAGCAGCGGGGTCTCCCCTTTCTTTCAGGTGGCCGTGCTGCCGCCCCCGCTCCCAAGGTGGCGCCGAGCGTCTAGCCCTCTCATCCATCGTGTCCTGTGGTTTATTTCCTTAAGTGACTCTTTCTGAGAGACTTGGGTGCAGCGGTATCAGCACAACGTGAAGATGAATCGTAATTCTTTTAAGTTTTTAATTTATTCATTTTAAGTAGTCTCTGTGCTACCTAATGCGGGGCTCGAGCCCACGACCCCGAGCTCGAGAGTCGCAGTCGCCCCGCTGGGGCCAGCCAGGCGCCCTGGGCCTGATTTCTTAGTCACCTGTTCAGTCATTGGCCTGTTTTCCCCTCGCAGCCGCCCGTTAGGCCGGGATCGATGGCGTGACGCGTGCAGGGGAGGCTGCTGCGTGGCGTCCGAGCCGCTGTTACTTTGCCGCCTCCGGGCCTTTCCTCTCCCTCCCGCTTCCCTCCCAGGCCCTCTGATGAGGAAGCAGCCGTGCTGGTCCCGCGGCTGGGGTTTTGCCTGCCGCACGGCACCGCGCCGCCTCCTACGCGCCCTCCCCCCGGGCGTCCTGTGAAGTGGCCGGGCGATCTGGGCTGTGGCTGTGGCCGCTTGTGCTGTCGAGCACTGAGACGTGGCTGGCACGTGCAGAGACGTGCGGGAGTGTGACATGCTGGGCGGCAGGACTTTGCTGGAGAGAACGTGCAGTAGCTCTCGCTACCAGGGCTCTAACGGTCTCGGGGGTTGAAATAACATTCGGTGCCTGTTGAGTTAGTCAAATGCATTCCCATCAATTCCATCCACTTACTATTTTTTTAATGTTTATTTTTGAGAGAGAGCGTGAGAGTGCATGAGTGGGGGAGGGACAGAAGGGGAGACACAGAATCTGAAGTGGCTCCAGGCTCTGAGCTGTCAGCACAGAGCCCGATGTGGGGCTTGAACTCACAAACTGTGAGATCATGACCTGAGCCGAAGTTGGATGCTCAACTGAGCCACAGAGGTGCCACTGGTCCTTTTTTTTTTTTTTTTTTAAAGCTTATTTATTATTTTGAGAGGAAGAGTGCAAGTGGGGGAGGGGCAGAGACAGAGGGAGAGAGAGAATCCCAAGCAGGCTCTTCAGTGTCAGCACAGAGCCCGATGTGGGGCTTGAACTCACAAACCAGTCTCCTGACCTGAGCCAGTCATGTGCTTAACCGACTGAGCCTCCCCAGGCGTCTCTGGTTCCATCTGTTTGTACTTTTTCAGAATGGTTCTCAGGAAACAGAGTTTCCCAGGTGGCCCGTGTTTGTGACCACATTCAGTTGCCATTGGATGTTTTTGATGTAGTTGTTAGATGGATTCCTGGGGGTCATTTTTTTTTTTTATGTCTCTTTATATTTTGAGCTTGGAGCCTGATGCAGGGCTCCATCTCATGACCTGAGCTGAAATCAAGAGTCAGATGCTTAGGGTCACGTGGATGGCTCAGTCGGTTTTGAATATGACTTCGGTTCAGGTCGTCATCTCGTGGCTTTGAGCTGTGTGTCGGACTCTGGTGACAGCTCGGAGCCTGGAGCTGCTTCGGATTCTGTGTCTGTCTCTCTCTTTGCCCCTCCCCTGCTTGTGCTCTGACTCTCTCAAACGTTAAAAAAAAAAAAAAAAAAAAAGTGTTGGAGGCTTAACTGACTGAGCCACCCGGTGCCCCTCACTGGGGTCACTTGAAGCTGTCGGAGTTCTTTTTTTTTTTTTTTTAATGTTTTATTTATTTCTAGGAGAGAGAGAGAGAGAGACAGCGTGAGGAGGGGAGGGTCAGAGAGAGAGGGAGTCACAGACTGAAACAGGCTCCAGGCTCCGAGCTGGCAGTCAGCACAGAGCCCGACGCGGGGCTCGAACCCACGATCCGCGAGATCATGACCCAAGAGAAAGTTGGACGCTTAACCGGCAAAGCCACCCAGGCGCCCCGAAGCTCTTGGAGTTCTTGTAGTTTGAGGCCTGGACACTGATGAGACTTGACCCGTGGGTGTTGTGTGTGGGGCCTAGTTGGATGGGCCTTCTGGCTGCAAGGTTAGGCGCTGTTCTCTCTGATGCAGCTGGTAACGAACCCCTGGTGTGTGGGTCGTTTTTGTCTGGTCTGATTCAGTAGGACTTGAACGGGGAGGAGGGGGCGGCCAGGGAGAATTGGAGTCAGAGGTGTTCATACGCTCGGAGAATGTGTTAGGTGGCGGGGTCCCCCCAAAGCCCCCCAGGCGGGTTGGCCCGCTGGAAGGTTCTAACGGCTTCTGCCTCACAGGGACGATTCCATCAATGACTGTCGGATCATCTTCGTGGACGAGGTGTTCAAGATCGAGCGCCCGGGCGAGGGGAGCCCCGTGGTGGAAAACCCGATGAGAAGTGAGTTCGGATCCTGCCCGTCCGGGTGCTCCCCGTCAGGTGTGGGGCGGGGGGGTGGCGGCGCCCGGCCCAGCTCCAGCCCTGGCGCTGAGCCCGCGCCGCCCCCCTGCGCAGGGAAGAGCGGGCCCTCCTGCAGGCACTGCAGGGACGACGAGAGCAAGGCCTGCCGCGTGTGCGCCTGCCACCTGTGCGGGGGCAAGCAGGACCCCGACAAGCAGCTCTTGTGCGACGAGTGCGACATGGCCTTCCACACCTACTGCCTGCGGCCGCCCCTCAGCAGCGTCCCCAAAGAGGACGAGTGGTGAGTGGGGGGGGGGGGGCCGGGGGGCTGGGCGGGTTCCGGGCCACACGCGTGTCCGTGTGGACAGGAGGGCGGTGACGGGCTTGGCTCGGTGCTGGGGAGCCTGACCTGTCACGGAGGTATAGCTGCAGGCCGCGTGGCTCTTGTCCCCACACGCGGCCCTCGTCAAGGTGGGGAAACCGAGTCTGCGGCAGCGAGCAGGTGCCGTCGCATTTCCCCGGTGTGTCCCGGGTCGCAGCTGGATTTACTCGCCTGGTGCGGAGGCTGCTCAGATTCCCGAGGAGAGGGACCGTGCAGCAGTGCGCCCTGTGGCGAGGGGGGTGTTCTCGTGCTGCGACGCCCAGTGGGGTCACTGGCCACACATGAGCTCGACTTCTCGTTTCGTGTTCAGGAAGTTAAGTTTAAATGGCATCCCCGCCCCCCCCGCCCGGTGCAGGACGGCAGGGAGTCGGGGGGCCGGCGTGGGCAGGGGGTGACGTCCCTGCCGTCACAGGTACTGCCCTGAGTGTCGCAACGACGCCAGCGAGGTGGTGCTGGCGGGGGAGAAGCTGAAAGAGAGCAAGAAGAAGGCGAAGATGGCGTCGGCCACGTCCTCCTCACAGCGGGACTGGGGCAAGGTGAGGCGGCCCCGTGCCCCGCACCCCTGCCGCCCTCCCCGCTCCACGGGCGCTCACACCGCTCTCCCCTCTGCTTCTGGACGCGCAGGGCATGGCATGCGTGGGCCGCACCAAGGAGTGCACCATCGTCCCGTCCAACCACTACGGCCCCATCCCGGGCATCCCCGTGGGCACCATGTGGAGGTTCCGAGTCCAGGTACCCCCACCTCCCAGGCTCTGGGGCTCGGCCGACGGGTTCTGTGCCCTCACAGGCCGCTGGGCGAGGGCCACCCCGAGGGCAGGTGCCAGGGCTGGGCTTCAGGCCAGACGCGGGGGGTGGGGGACAGGCTCTCACAGGGGTGAGGACGCCTTGGGCAGAAGAGCCCCGCCGCCGGCTTTGAGAGTGGGAGGGAGCGAGGGGTGCGGGTCAGGCGTCTCCACGGCAGCCAGGCCCAGAGATGCCGTTCATGTGTTGCTGGTGTTTGCAGGTCAGTGAGTCGGGGGTCCACCGGCCTCACGTGGCGGGCATCCACGGCCGGAGCAACGACGGGGCTTACTCGCTGGTCCTGGCGGGCGGATACGAGGACGACGTGGTGAGTGGGGGGGCGTGTTCCAGTTTCTTAAAAAAAAGTGCAGGAAGTGCACGTAAACTTGCCGTCGTCACCGTCTTCAGGTGCATGGCTCCGTGGCACCAAGCACGCTCTGTGCAGCCGCCCCCCCATCTGTCTCCAGAACCTTCCATGTCCCCAAACTGAGATTCTGTCCCCATGAGGCGCAGACTCCCCGACTCCCACCGTCTACTCTCTGTCTCTGTGGACGGGACGCCTCTGGGGACCCCCTGTGCTGGGGTCACACAGGACGTGTCCTGTGTCTGGTTCCTGTCACAGTGCACAGTGTCCTTTGGGTCCATCCACAGGGTGGCAGGTGGCAGGACGTCCCCCCTTCCCGAGGCCCGGTCACATCCGGCGTGCAGATGGACACACTGAATCCTTCGTCCGTCAGGGACGCTTGGGTTGTTTCCAGGTTCAGCTATTGTGAATCCTGCTGCTCTGAACGTGGCTGTGCTGACATCTCGAGACCCTGTTTTCAGTTCTCGGCGGGGGTGGACCCGGAAGTGGGCCTGCCCGGTTTTCTCTCGGGTGTAGACCTGATGAGGGACTGCCACATTGTGCGGTCATTTTGTTTATAAATTTTTGAGGAAGCTTCGTGCTATTTTCCACGTGGCTGCGCCAGTTTGCGTCCTTACTGGTTCCCCCCCGGCGTCCCGGTTTCTCCATGTCCTTGTCTGCGTGTGTCATTTTCTGTGTCCTTGGCCGCGGACATCCTGACAGGTGTGTGTGGGCTCGTTTTCGGTGGAGTCTCCTCCCCTGTGTGTGGAGGGCTCAGGCTGTCCTCTGTTTCAGGACCACGGGAATTCTTTCACGTACACGGGCAGTGGTGGTCGAGATCTTTCCGGCAACAAGCGGACCGCAGAACAGTCTTGTGACCAGAAGCTCACAAACACGAACAGGTTTGTGGAAGCGGCTTTTGTTTCTCTGCCAGCGTGCTTCTGCCTCATCCTCTGGCGGCTGCACGGGGCGGGGTTTGGTTCTGTTTTGGGGTGTCCTGGCGAGGAGGTTAGAGTCCCAGTAAGAGTGTGCCGGAGGGGCACCTGAGTGGCTCACTGGGTTAAGCCACCTTCAACCCAGGTCATGATCTCACAGTTCCGAGTTCAAGCCCCGCATTGGTCAGGCTCTCTGCTGTCAGTAACGAGCCTGCTTCGGATCCGGTCTCCCTTTCTCTCTATCTCCCTCTCCCCTCCCCTACAAGAGTGTGGTAGACTGTAGGGATGGCAAACACCGGCTTGTCCTTTCTGTTTGCTGAAGTCCTTCAGATGCGTTAAAGCGAAGTTTTTCCATCGAAGGCCACGTACTAGGTCTCTTTGGCTTTTTGAGCCCCACAGTCTCTGTTGTAACCATGCGATGCTACTCTCGTGGCACGAAAGCAGCCACAGGGCCCATGTAAGTGAATACGCATGCATGTATTTCAGTAAAACTTTATTTGCAAAACCAAGTAGCGGGCCAGAGATCGCTGACTCCAGACTGAAGGTTGGGGACTGACTTTGTCAGCACAAAAACATCATGAAACTGAAGAAAAAGAGATGTGATGGCCTATATGTTATAAATTGTATCAATAACACCCATACGGTAGAATGGAAAGGCAGAGGACTGTTTGGGGGAGAGGTCTGCTACACACGTGATACGTGATGGTTGTGTTTTAAGACATAAAGAGCTGTTTCAAACCAATGAGAAAAGCTACTAGGGACAGGCAAATGACCTAAATCATTCGCAAGAGAAAGGCAGATCCCTCATGACCATGAAAATGTACTCAGTGTTGTAATCAAAGAAATACAAATTGAAGCAATGGTAAGATCCTGTTAGTTTTCCTTGTAAAATTGGCCAAAACCTCTAAAACGTTGAGAAATGTCAAGACCTAGATGAGTATTCCACTGTTGGTAGAAATACAAATGGGGGGGGGGGCTGGGTGACTCGGTCCGTTTAAGCAGCTGACTTTGGCTTAGGTCTTGGTCTTGTGGTTCATGAGTTCGAGCCTCATATTGGGTACACTCGATTTGGGATTTTCTCTCCCTCTCCCTCTCTCCCCCACTTTTCCTCCCTCTTTCACTGCCCCTTGTGGGATTCTCTCTCTCTCTGTCTGCGCCTCACTCACTTGTACTCTGTCTCTCTCTCAAAAAAGAAAAATACAAATGGGTGCCGTCGTCCCAGAAAGTTCTTTACATATGGAGAGCCTTGAAAATGTTCTTTTTTGAGGTGCCTGGGGGCCTCAGTTGGTTTAGTGTCCGACTTGGGCTCAGGTCATGATCTCACGGTTTGTGGAGTCGAGTCTCGTCTCAGGCTCTGTGCTGACAGCTCAGAGCCTGGAGCCTGTTTCAGATTCTGTGTCTCCCCCTCTCTCTGCCCCTCCCCCGCTCATGCTCTTTCTCAAAAATAAAACCAAAAAACAAAAACCGTTCTCCTTTAAAAGGAAAAATGTTCTTGGGGCGCCTGGGTGGCTTAGTCTGTTAAGCGTCGACTTTCGCTTAGGTCATGATCTTGCGGTTCGTGGGTTCGAGCCCCGCGTCGGGCTCTGTGCTGACTGCCAGCTCAGAGCCTGGAGCCTGTTTCAGTCTGTGACTCCCTCTCTCTCTGACCCGCCCCTGCTCGCGCGGTCTCTCTCCCTCTCTCTCTCTCCTAGAAATAATAAATTAAAAAAAAAAATTTAAAAAAAAGTTCTTTCCCAGGACTCTAATTCTACTTTGAAAATGTGTTTGTAAGACACAAGAGCATGAAAATTTTACACATAGTGACCCACGTATGTTTTCAAGATTTTATTTTTAAAGTTTATTTTTATTTATCTTGAGAGAGAGAGAGCGCGAGTGAGCGTGTGTCAGTGGGGATGGGGAACAGAGAGGGGGAGACCATTCCAAGCAGGCTCGCCAGTGTCGGCACAGAGCCTGATGTGGGGCTTGAATTCACGATTGAATTCATGCAAGATCATGACCTAAGCTGAAATCAAGAGTCAACTTTTTTTTTAACGTTTTATTTATTTCTGAGAGAGAGAGAGAGCGCGTGAGCACGGGAGGGTCAGAGAGAGAGGGAGACACGGAATCTGAAGCAGCTTTAGGCTTCAAGCTGTCAGCACAGAGCCCGACGCGGGGCTCAGACCCACGAACCACGAGATGACCTGAGTGGAAGTCAGACGCTTAACTGACCGAGCCACCCTGGCTCCCCTATACGTAGTGACATTTATCAGACCAGTATCTAAAACTGCAAAATCGGGGGCGCCTGGGGGGCTCAGTCGGTTTAGCATCTGACTTCAGCTAAGTCATGATCTTGAGGTTCGTGTGTTCGAGTCCTGCGTCGGGCTCTGCGCTGGTGACGTGGAACCTGCTTGGGATTCTCCTTGTTCCTCCTCTGCTTGTGGGCATACACTTTCTCTCTCCTCTCTCTCTCTCTCTAATAAAGGAACCTCAGTAAATAGACAAAATTGCGGGATAAATAACTAAATTCCGAGAAGGGGGAGTGTGCTTTGCAAGCGGCTGCTTGTGTGGTGGAGCATCTGGGTGTGGGTGGGGCTGAGGCCCTTGCTCGGGAGAGGCGCCCACCGTGCCACCCGCCCTGAGCTCGCAGGCAGGGTGAGCGCTGGACACCCTTCTCTGCAGTTGTCCCGTGGGAAGCGCGTCTGTGCTGAGCCTGACCCCCGGTCAGCTTGTCCTGGGACTCCGTGCACCTTGCTGCATCGGCCCCACGGGCCCCGCCTGGGTTCGCACATCTCCCCGCGGTGCCTTCATGTCCTGCGGCTCCTGCCGTGAAACCCCGCGAACGGGGGTTTATTAAACAACAGGGATTTGTTCTTGTGTCTTTCTCGAGGCCAAACCCTGAAATCCAGGGGTCGGCAGGGCCGCGCTTCCTGTGAAGCCGGTGGGGGTTGTTCCCCCCCCCCCACCGGCGTCTTCCGGCTGCTGGTGGCCGCCGGTGGTCTCTTGTGTCCCGTGGCTCGCGGGTGTGACCCTCCAGCCTTTGCCTCCTTCACGTGGCCTTCTCCTCCGGGTGCTGTGCCTCCGTTACCCTTTCCTTTCCTTTTTAAAATAATTTTCTTAAAGCTTTCAAAATTTATTTTGAGAGAGACAGCAAGTGGGGGAGGGGCAGAGAGACCCGAGAGAGACAGAATCCCGAGTAGGCTCTGCACTGTCTGCCCAGAACCCGACCTGGGGTTCGAACTCCTGAACTGTGAGATCACGTGTGTGACCTGAGCCGAAACCAGGAGTCGGATACTCAACTGACTGAGCTCCCTAGGCGCCCCCCATTACCTTTTTTTCATGAGGACATTTTGGGCCACACTAGTCCACTCTGATCTGTGACCTTGACGCGTCTGCAGCACCCTCTTTCCAGAGGTCAGTCACAGGTCCTAGGGGGGAGAGAGTGAGCCTCTTTTTTGGGGGGACCCCACACGACCTGTCCCTCACGGGGCCGCGCTCTCCCCGCAGGGCGCTGGCCCTGAACTGCAGCGCCCCCATCAACGACCGCAAAGGGGCCGAGGCCAAGGACTGGCGGTCGGGGAAGCCTGTGCGGGTCGTGCGGAACGTTAAGGGCCGGAAGCACAGCAAATACGCCCCCGCCGAGGGCAACCGGTACGACGGCATCTACAAGGTGAGTGACCCTGTCCGGCCCCGTGCGGCCCCGTGCGGCCCCAGACGTGGCTGACCTTGACTGCGCTTCCCGCAGGTTGTGAGGTACTGGCCAGAGAAGGGGAAGTCCGGCTTCCTGGTGTGGCGCTACCTGCTGCGGAGGGATGACGCCGAGCCCGGGCCCTGGACGAAGGAGGGCAAGGACCGCATCAAGAAGCTGGGGCTGACCATGCAGGTGCGTCTTGCCGCCCCTACCCGTCGGCTGCCGCGTGGCTGCCTCAGCAAGCACTGTCCCGCGTGGGGCCTTGTCTCCTGGCCGGCCGCTGGGGAGGGGGCAGGGCCCGCCTCGGGGAGCTTGGGTGGCGCGGGCCCGGCCGGCTGGGCCTGCCTTCTCGGCCGGCAGCTCTCCCCGCTTTCTGCGATGATCTTAGATGACCTCTGGGCACCTGGCTGCACCTTGCGGACTCTTCGGTGGGTTTTGGGGGCGGGCAGGCTGTGTGTTCACGGTTGGAGGGCGGAGACCCACGCTTCCTCCTCAGAGCCGTGTGCGTGGAAGCTGGTCTCTTCCTTTTCACCGGGCTCCATGCGGCCTCCAAGCAAACCCACGCCGCGGCTGTGATGTAGGGGAGGAGGGCTCCCTCGGAGCACCCGCTCGCCTCCGCCTAGCAGCCCGGGCTCCCACCTCCGAGGGCTCACCCGGGGCGGGGCTCACCCGGGGCGGGGCGCGCCTCGGCTGCACGGTAGGGAAGGCCACGTGGGGCTATTTAAGGAACCCTAATTGCTCCTGAGATCAGAGAGCATCTCCCCTGGAGGGCGGTCAGCATAGAGTCGACTTTAGAACATGTTTGTACCTCGGAGAATTTCAGAGACTTAGAACCGGGGAGATGAACAGCCGGGGACGGAGCCCCCGCTCCCGGAGTGTTGGTGACTTAGTGTTCGCGTTGCTAAGGAAGCGCGACGGCCTCCCGCCAGAGCGCCGGGGAGTCCCATGGGCCTGGCAGTGTCGCGGGCATGGGCCTCTCACCCGGTAGTGCCTGTGGGACCGCAGGGGAGCCCCAGGCTGCTCTGAATGCGGTTGGCGAGTAAGGGCCTCAGGGCCATTTGGTTGTAAATGAAGTTCTCCGGGGGCCCAGTCGCGCCCGCCTGTTGCTCTCTGGGCTCAAGCTGCAGATCCCGCGGCCTGGCGCCTCACAGGAAGCGTTTGCCCCCCTCTCAGGGAAACCGTAAGGTCCCTGGGGGGCTCGGGTGGCTGATCGTCCGGCTTCTGCTCAGGTCTTCATCCCACGGGTCGTGGGTCAGCCTTGCGTCAGGACCTGTGCTGAGCCTGCTTCGGATCCTTTCTTGCTCTGTCCCTCCCCCGCTCGCTCGCTCGCTCGCTCGCTCGCTCACTCGCTCACATGCTCGGTCTCTCTCAGAAAGAAACCTTTAACAACAGTAGCGAGGGTGCTAAGTAGACGCTCTCACTTGCTGGATCTGCTGCGAGGCGCCCTCCGTGCCTCCCCCTGCTCCGCAGCTGCGCCCCCGTCAGGCGCACCTTGCGTCCGCAGCACTTTCATTCCTCGGGAGGTTTATTTGCCTGCGGCTCCCGGAGGCCGAGCCGCGGGGAGGAGTCTTGGAGGCCAGAGTGGGGCCCGGGGACGGGATGTCGACGGGGCGAGGTGGCCGAAGGGGCGCTGGCGGACGCAGCCGCCCCGGGCCCCCGGACTCTGCGCGTCTCACCGCCCCGCTTGGCCGCCTTGCAGTACCCGGAAGGCTACCTGGAGGCGCGGGCCAGGAGGGAGAAGGAGAAGGAGAACAGCAAGCGGGAGGCCGAGGCCGAGCACGGTGCTGACGAGGACGGGGACCTCACACCCCCCAGGAAGGGCAAGGGCAAGCGCAAGTGCAAGTCCGGAGGTGGGTGTCTCTGCGGGCGGCAGCCGCGTGCCCGCTCGGCCCTGTCCCCCTCACCCGCTCGGCCCTGTCCCCTCAGGCGGGAAGACGGGGGCTGGGTCCCCGCGAGGGACCCCTAAGAAAAGCAAGGTGGAGCCCTACAGCCTCACGGCCCAGCAGAGCAGCCTCATCAAGGAGGACGAGAGCAACGCTAAGCTGTGGAGCGAGATCCTGAAGTCGCTCAAAGACGGCCCGGTGAGTGGCCCCGCCCCCATCCCTGCTGATGTGGCGGATGGAGAGGGTTCCCCGTCGTCCCTGCGTTCGGGGCACGGCTCAGCGGCACCAAGCACGCTCCTCGCTGTGCAGCCGCCGCCGTGACCATCCATCTCCAGAACTTTCCACCTCTGCAGACAGAGACCGGGTCCCCACGAAACACGGACTCCCCGCCCTCGCCCCACCCCCGGCTCCCATCATCCACTCTCCGTCTCTGTGGACGGGACGCCTCTAGGGACCCCCTGTGAGTGGGGTCACGCGGGACGTGTCCTCTGTGTCCGGCTTCTGTCGCCGCGCAGTGTCCTCCAGATCTGTCCACGTGGTGGCAGGACGTCGTCCTTCCTGAGGTGGAGGTGGGGGGGCCGCCCCGGGTTGTCCGCTGCCCTGCACGTGGACGTGGCGGTGCCTCCGCTTCGGTGGCCCTGGCCGCCCCCAGCTTTCCTGCCTGGGGCGCCATCCTGCGCGCTGGACCGCTGCTCACGAGGGCGCCCTGCGCTCGGCCCGCTCAGCGGCCTCTGAAGCAGGCCTGCCTTTGCATCGTCCTGAGTGTGGTGAGTGGCACGGACTCGTCGCCGCCAGGGAGCCGCTCGGTGGCCTCGGACCACTGCCCACGCCTCACTCTGGAGCCTGGCAGGTACCGTCCGAGCCTGCCTGTGGACTCGGAGGTCCTTTTTTTTTTTTTTTTGAGTTTATTTATTTAAAAAAAAATTTTTTTTTAATGTTTTATTACTGAGAGAGAGAGACCGTGTGAGCAGGGGAGGGGCAGAGAGAGAGGGAGACACAGAATCCGAAGCAGCTCCAGGCTCTGAGGTGCCAGCACAGAGCCCGACACGGCTCGAATCCTTGAACTGTGAGATCATGACCTGAGCCTAAGTAAGACGCTTAACTGACTGAGCCACCCAGGCGCCACTAAAAAATTTTTTTCATAGTGTATCCATTTTTGAGACAGAGAGACAGAGTATGAGTGGGGGAGGGGGAGAGAGAGAGGGAGACACAGAATCAGAAGAGGATTCTAGGCTCCGAGCTTCAGCCCAGAGCCCGATGCGGGGCTCAAACCCACGAACCATGAGATCATGACCTGAGATGAAGTCGGACACTTAACCCACTGAGCCACCCAGGTGCCCCGAATTTGTTTGAGAGTGAGTGAGTGGGGGCAGAGAGCAAGGGAAGGAGAGCATCCCCAGCAGGCTCGACGGGTGGGTTCAAGTTAGATGCATAACCGGCTGAGCTGCCCAGGCTCTCTGGGTCCCAGCCATCCTGCCTTGAGGCCTTTGCCCTCATGGTTCCCTCAGCTTCAAGGACCTTCCCCACAGTGCTTGTGCACGGAACCCCTGGGGCAGCCGGGAACACGACCGCACAGCTGGAAGTCCAAACGACACGAATCTGTACAGCCAGGTGTGGGCCGGGCTGGCTCTTCTGGGGCCCAGGGCGGACCCATTTCCCAGGCCTCCCAGCATCTGGGGCGCCGCGTCTTTGGCTCCAGCACCCGGTCTCGGCCTCCGCCTCCCTCTCTCAGGGACCCTTGTGATGACATTGGGCCACCTGGATCACTCAGGATGGTGTCCAGTCTCCGGGTCCGTAACCCCATCTGCAAACGCCATCAGCCTCACGAGGTGACACGCACAAGTCCTAGGATTCACATGTGGCGCCCTGCGGGCCGTGACTCAGCTGGCCATGCGCCCTCCAAGTCCCCTTCCCCGTGGAGCCTTCCGGGCCGGCCCCTCCCCGGCTCTGCTGGGGCGTTCCTGCGCCTGCCTGGCCCATCTGGGTCCCCCCGCCCCTGGCCTCCGAGCTCTGTCGACGGAGGAGATGCATCCCCGCAGGGCCGCTGTCAAGCCCGCTCCGGACCCGCAGCTGGTGTGGCCTGGGCACAGCCCACCTCTCCGGGCCTCGGCTTCCTCGCGTGACGTGGGCGACCGCTGCCGCCGCCCCACGTGGGTACGCCTGTGGGGAGCTGCCGCTCTGGCACGGGCAGCAGTGGGGTCGGCTCACACGCTCTCCTTCCTCCAGTTTCAGAAGTTTCTTAGCAAAGTGGAGGAGACGTTCCAGTGCATTTGCTGCCAGGAGCTGGTGTTTCGTCCCATCACGACCGTGTGCCAGCATAACGTGTGCAAGGTGAGCGGGGCGGCTGTGGGCAGGGCGGGGGGGGTTACCGGTACCAGAGGGATGGTGTGCCCCCCTCCCCCTGCCGCCCCCTGCCGCACCCCCTGTCCCACCCCCAGCTCCCACCGTCTTCTCTCTCTCTCTGTGGACGGGCTGCCTCTAGGGACCCCCTGTGGGGTCACACAGGGCGTGTCCTCTATGTCTGGCTTCTGTGAATGATACAGGGGTCCATGACCAGATTTTTGAATGTGGAGCTGAATCTCGGTCATATTGAGCAGAAAGAACTGCCTTTCGCCCCTGGAGTCCAGGCCGTAGACTTTAGTGGACAGGATTCAGGAGTCTCACAACTCAGAAGAGGCCACGGCCTGCACGCGGCAGATGTGCCGTGGCACCAGCAGGCTGCCTCCGGTTGACGCGGCGCCCGGCTGTTTCTGAGGGCGGGTGGCTCTCCCCACTCGGCTTTCTGCTCCGGGGGCTGCTCTGCTGAGAATTGAGTTTGAAGCCGGAAGTCTGGCTGTGAGCCAGCGAGCCTGCCTTTCCCCCTGTCTTGCCCTCGGCTCCGGTTTGTGGGACATGCACTGTGTGCGGTGGTCCTGTGCTTGGTGCTGGTGGGGAGTGTCTAGTCTGTGTCACACGAGGACATTAGTAGATGATTCCTGGAGAGGGAAGGTGCCATGTGAAGACAGGTAGGGTGAGGGGCACCTGGGTGGCTCGGTTGAGCGTCTGGCTTTGGCTCAGCTCGTGATTTCCTGGTTGGTGAGTTTGAGCCCAGCATCCGGCTCCGTGCAGACGCTGCAGAGCCCGCTTCAGATTCTGTGTCCCCCTCTCTCTCTGCTCCCTCCTCCCCCTAAAAAAGGGTGGGGCCGCTTATGATACGCAAGGGTCATCCGGGAAGGGTCCTCCGAGGAGGTGACTTGAGCTGAGGCATGAGTGACGGGAGAGCCAGAGGGCAGGCCTGATTGGCAGCGCGACCTAAGTGCCAGGGCCTGGAGGCCAGGGTGAGCTCCGGGTCTTTGAGGGGCCCCAGGGCGGTCAGGCTGGAGGTAGAAAGTGAGACGCATGGTCAGGAGAGGCCTCTGGACGCTGTGAGAAGTAGGTAATTGATGCTCACTCTGTCGTCAGGGACGCGGGTGGCTGCCTGGGACAGTGCTGCTCACCCCCTCCCTCTGTCTTGCAGGACTGCCTGGACAGGTCCTTCAGGGCGCAGGTGTTCAGCTGCCCGGCCTGCCGCTATGACCTTGGCCGCAGCTACGCCATGCAGGTGAACCAGCCGCTGCAGGCCGTCCTCAACCAGCTCTTCCCCGGCTACGGCAGCGGCCGGTGATGCTCCGACGCTTCTCGCCAGTAGTTTTTTTTTCAAAGAAACGTGTCCCAGGGGTCTTTGTCCCCTCTGTTTTTAGTGGGCTTAACTTAAACAGGTAGTTTTTCCTCCACTCCCTAAAAAGCCTTGTCTTCCCGGTTTTATTTTTTTTTAACCTATGTGTTTTCCGGAGTTTGTATTACGGCTCGAAGAAAGAAGGAAAGAAAGTTGGACTTCTCAGTGTTGTATTTTGGTTTTAAAAAAATACAAAGCCTGCAGTTTATCAGCAAAAAAACAAACAAAAAAAGTTTTTCTTTCCGAAGATGGAATTCAAAACGCCTTGGCGTGAAGGCTGCTTGTGTTCCCGGCGCCAGGTTCCCAGAAGTTCCCGCCGCCGCCGAGCAAGAAGGCGCCCAGGCGCCCAGAACAATCTTTTTCAAGGTGCCTGAGTTTGGCCTCCGACGTTGAAAGCGAGTGCATCTCCCTGACCGCGGTGCCTGCTGGTGGCCCGGGTGTGGCCGGCCCTGCCGTCACCCACGGGGAAGGTGGCGAGAAGACGAAAAGTCCCCTCCGGCCCCAAAGCCACCCCCTAAGTTCGCTTTCTCACGGCAGCCCCGCGCGCTGAGCTTCCTCTCCCGGGGGTAAGCGGGCAGAAGCCGCTCGAAGCCGCCGCCTCTGGACCCTTCTGCGCAAGGCTGGGCGAGCGGCCGAGTGCGGCGTTTCGCGTGGCGCACCGCGGAAGCGAACGTTCGAAGCCATGTTCAAGTGCCTTTGGGTCTTGTCTTTTGTTGTAAACGTGGGCCCCCCTCGTAGCACTGACTTGTTGAGAATATGCCACCAGGTCCTGAAACTGTGGTTACCCTGCTCTTCCCGACACCGGCCGAGTGTGCGGGGCCAGTTTCACCCTTGTCCATCCTTCCCGCTGAATTTTCAACTCCCCGATTGAGAATTCTAAGAGGGAATTTTTTTTAAGTACTTTTTTCTGAATGAAATTTTTTTTGTAGTTATTGTATATGTACCAAGAAAGCTATAACTTAGGATTTGGTTGTGTTTCATGGTTTTGTTTTTTTTTTTTTCTTTTTTGTATTTTTTTGGGGAATGATTTGTTAATTTTTCTAACTTTACCAAAGTTTGCAGCTTTTACCTCAATAGAACAGGAATATTTTAAATCCCATATCTGCAGACAAACTGGAGTGGTATTGTTTTAAAAAGTCTTTCTTTTTTCCTTTTATTAGGTTGTTACTGTATTAGGAAGAAACAACAAAATCCTGTGTAGGCTTTTTCTAAGCAGTTCAATATTCTTTGTCCAAATTTTAGGTTCTCGGAATAAATGCCTTTTACAGATGTACGGGGTCGTGTCTTCTGTCGGCGAGGGGTTTTGCCATCTTCCTGCAGGGACGTCTTTGGGTCCCGGCATTTCATGTTCTCGTCTCGAGGCTCCGGGACACAGGCCTGGGAGGTGGTATCCTCTGTCCCCGGAGGAGAGGACACGCTTGATGCCAAGGCGTGTGACGTGGTTGGGCCCGGGATTTCACGGGGCCGCCAAGCCGAGGGGCCCAGTCCCGCCTTCCGGCTTGGCACCAGGGCTCGCTCCCCGCTCCCCGAGGTGAGTGGTTCTGTCCCCTTTTACACAGGAGGAAATGGACAGCCACCCTGTCCGTTAGGCGCGTGGCCTGAAGTCCCACGATCCTAGTGCGGTCTCTGCAGGCCTGGGGACATCTGGGTGCCAGGGGGCTACTGACGACCTGACAGCTCTCTGTCTCCAGTGGAAGTCAAGGTCAAGGACGGGGTGGATTCAATAGTTGACTTGCAGGGAAGGGCGCAGCTGAATTCTGCAGGGGGGGCCAGTTCCCATCGGCCTCCTCCCTGTCCCTTCTGTTGACGCAGGGAGAAGCGGGCAGATCTGACTTGCTCGCCGGGAAAATGTTCTGCCCCTTTTGGTCCTTGAAGTATGTCAGGTGTGCCCTTGAAATTGTGCCGGGTGGGGGTGGGGCAGAGAGTTGAAGGGGCAGGGCTGCCTCGTGGGGCGAGGAGAATGTTCTCAGTTTGCTGAGACTGCACCCCTCTGTGGATGCACCCAAGTCCTTTGAGTTGTACACTTCTTGAATGGGTCCTTTCCGTGGTGTATGAATCCACATCAGATGTCAAGTGTGAACATGCAGAGGAAATGGCACAGCCGGCCCCCGGCTGGCCCCACCCAGGGGCAGAGCACACGGAGGTGGGTTCACAGAGATTTGTGGCTTTCTGTGGACGCTTCTCTCATTTTAAAAGTTAAGGACAACATCTCTTAAAAAAACCACAAACCCCAGAAAAGTATGTCTGTGGAACCGCCGTGCAGAAGTGACCCCACGTGAGGCGCGTCCTCTCCTGGTTTCGTTTCTGCTGTTATGTAACCACCAGACTCCAATACACCTCCCGTCACCCTCACGTTCCCCTGTTGAGAGTGTACAGGTAACTCGTTTTTAGTGTGTTCGGAGTTGTGCGACCATTTCCTCTAGTTCCAGAACATTCTTCACCCTAAAAAAGAACCCCGTCCCCCACCCCTGGCATGAGCCCCACGAACCCCTTCCCATCCGTGGAGGAGCCTGTGCTGGATGTGTCACGCATGTGGACTCACACCCCGCGTGGCCTCGTGTCTGGTTCCCTCCCTGAGCACCGTGTGTTCTTGTCTTCACATGGGAACACATTCTGTCTCCTTTTTTTTTTTTTTTTTGTCTCCTTTTAAGGCTGAATAATATTCCACTATGTGGATTAGCCATCTTTTTGTTAAAAAAGAATTTTTTTTAAATGTTTTATTTCTGGGGCGCCTGGGTGGCTTAGTCGGTTAAGCGTCCGACTTTCGCTTAGGTCATGATCTCACGGTTCGTGGGTTCGAGCCCCGCGTCGGGCTCTGTGCTGACTGCCAGCTCAGAGCCTGGAGCCTGTTTCAGTCTGTGACTCCCTCTCTCTCTGACCCTCCCCTGCTCACACTGTCTCTCTCTCTCTCTTAAAAATAAAACATTAAAAAATGTTTTTAAATTAAAAAAAATGTTTTATTTCTTTCTGAGAGAAAGAGAGGCAGCGTGAGCAGAGGAAGGGCAGAGAGAGAGGGAGACACAGAATCTGAAACAGGCTCCAGGCTCTGAGCTATATGCACAGAGCTTGACACAGGGCTCAAACCCACGAACCATGATGTCATGACCTGAGCCAAAGTTGGACGCTTTACCAACTGAGCCCCCAGGTGCCCCTAGCCATCTTTTTAAATACACCTGCTTGACTTTATTGTGATTTTTTTTTCAAGTTATTTATTTATTTTGGGAGAAAGTTTATGTGCAAGTGGGAGGAGGGGCAGAGAGAATCTCAAGCAGGCTCTGCATGCTGTCAGTGCAAAGCCCGACTTGGGGCTCGAACCCATGAGTCATGAGATCATGGCCTAAGCTGAGATCAAGAGTCAGACGCTTAACTGATTGCCCCCACCTGGTCGACTTTTTTTTAATTTATTTTAATTTATTTTTATTTTTATTTCTAGGAGAGAGAGAGAGAGACAGCGTGAGCAGGGGAGGGTCAGAGAGAGAGGGAGACACAGACTCTGAAACAGGCTCCAGGCTCTGAGCCGGCAGTCAGCACAGAGCCCGACGCAGGGCTCGAACCCACGAACCGTGATATCATGATCCAAGCGAAAGTCAGACGCTTAACCGACTAAGCCACCCAGGCGCCCCTGGTCGACTTTTTTTTTTTAATAATTTTTTTCAGCTTATTTATTTTGAGAGAAAGAGAATCCCAAGCAGGCTCCAAGAGCCCGATGTGGGGCTCAAACCCATCAACCATGACCTGAGCTCAAGAAACCAAGAGTCTGATGCTTAACGTACTGAGCCACCCACATGCCCCTTGTTGGGTTTTTAACGTAAAGCTGGTACCTTCTTTTCTTCCACTCCAGGTTATAAAATCGGCTCATGATCCCTTTGGAACATTTGGAAACAATATATGGCAAAAAAAAAAAAAAAAAAAAAGTCTAAAGACCTAACCTGGCTCCCTGGGGGTTCACACATTCAGGTTTTATTTGTGCACCTCTGTGTCTCAGCACTTCTTGCTACTGAGGTATGAGATCATGTGGCTTGGCCAAGGATACAGCAAGGCGGGGCGTGCACATTTATGTATGATCTGAAGGCAGCGAGGACAGGGTTGCACATGCTCCCTTGTGCCGGCTTTCTGCTCACTTCCGTTCATTTATCGAGTTACCACTTTGTCTAGCACCTTAGTAAACAAACAGATGTGAGCGGTGGTCTGGTGTGTGCATATTTGCGCGTGTGTTCAAAAATGTGAAATCTACACGTACGTCTAGTGTCATGCATGCTTGGAGTGAAATGGTACATTAGGATTCCTCCTCTGAATGTACTTCGAAAAAGGAGTTGTTGGGGTGCCTGGGTGGCTCAGTCAGTTAAGCGTCCGACTTCGACTCACCGTTTTTGGGTTCGAGCCCCGCATCGGGCTCTGTGCTGACAGATCGGAACCTAGAGCCTGCTTCGGATTCTGTGTCTCCCTCTCTCTCTCTGCTCCTCCCCTGCTCATGCTCTGTTTCTCTCTCTTTCAAAAATAAACAGTAAAAAATTAAAAAAGTAGAAAGTCTAAAATCAAGGTGCTGGCCTGGCTGTGTAAAAAAAAAAAAAAAAAAAGCCTGGGTGGCTCCGTCTGACTCTTGGTTTTGGCTCAAGTCATGATCTTACGGTTCACGGGTTTGGGCCCCACGTGGTGCTCTGCGCTGCGGAGTCTGCTTGGGATTCTGTCTCTGTCTCTCAGGCTGAGGCTGGTGCAGAGCCCTGCCCCTGGCTTGTTCAAGAAGAGACGCCAGTGTGGCTCCCGGTACCAGCCTTTCAGGGGATGCACACCTGTCGGCAGAGACTTGGAGAAAACCCAGGTGATTTATCCCCATGTGAATTTGTCCATTTGAAAACTCTTGAGTGTTGCCTTCCCACTTTGCATAGGACATTTTTTAATTAAATGGCAACAATTATGCTTTTCTCCTGACATTTCATTATGCAAACCTTCAAACAGAAAAGTGGGATTGTATGGGGAGCCCTAGAATATTCCTCCCGTCTGGATTCTACAATTGTTCAGATGTTGACGTAATAGATGGCATAGAAAAAAGCCTCCCTACACAAAATAAGGAAGTTGACAACCTATTTAGGTCCTCTAATTTAAAATAAAATTTCAGAATCTGTGAAATCTGAACACCTGGAGTTTACTGGCTTAGAGGATAAACTTGGAAGAAGCGGAACAAAAGATCCGTGGGGGGCGGGAACCCCTCCATTATTGCACCTTGGATACACTTGTCACCACGATTAAATGCCCGTTTGTTTTTCCCACTGGAAAGGGAGTTCCTTGGGGCAGTTACTACTTCCCATCTTGAATGTTAAATTTTAACTACATGAGGAATGTAGGAGTATAGTCCCGTGAGAATTGAAAGCCTCCCGGAAGAGATTCACATCCTCACTGACGACTCTTTTCTGCCAGTGTGGATCTGTCCCTATCCAAAGATGTCCTTTTCTCCTTTTCAGGGCCACCTTTCTGTGTGCCTTGACCCAGATGCGTGATCTTAGAGAAACCACACGACCCTGGTCTCTGGGTTTGTGTCCGTAACATGGGTTTCTGGATACAGAATTCTGGACCATTCTGCAGCTTGCAAACCAATGTGTGTAGGAGATGGATCCAGGGCAGGGCGTGTGGACCACCTCCTGGTAAACTGCTACACAGTTCAAAGTCCCGCAGCGGCCGCAGCTCCGCCTTGGAAGTGGCTGCACCCCGGGCTGCAGCATGTAACCCCTGAAGGCATTGCGTGAAGTACCTGACCTCCCGGGGTCCAGCTTGGATAACATTTACAATGTTACCGGAAAGCCCTGCTGCTGACCTGCCCCCCACTACTGTCTACTACTCAAGTAGTAACAGCAAGGACAGTGGTAAGCCCACCCAGGAGAAGCCACTCGCTCAAACCCTCTGCGTGTCTGGCCCCACTCGATTCTTGCAACATCCCTGGGGGACGGGCAGGCAGTGGATGGAGCGGTTAGCATCCCTATCCACTTCACGGGGGAAACCGAGGCCCGGCGAGGTCCCTGTGAGGCGTGGGGGCCCGACTGAACTTCGAGAACCTTGATGTTAGGGACTGTCTTGTGTTAGGGAACTCGGGGGGAGCGCACCTAACTACCCCGAGGGCCTTGCAGGTCTGCAAAGGTTTGTTGATTGTGATGGAAAACAATTTGGCTTTTGGAGGCCAGAGGAGGGGTGCTTGCTGCCGGACTTTACATTTCAACAGTTCTTCTGCTTAAATGGATTGCACTGGAGCTGTTTCCCAGCTCCGGATTTAAAGGAGTGGGGAACTTCTGTGTCCAAGTTCCGGCCATGAGTCTCGAACCCCTTCCCCATACTTCCCCGGCCTGGTGCTGATGTTGTGCTGGGTCTCACGTACTCAGTTGCTGCCTGATAACCGGGGCGGGGCCCGGGCCCTGATTGGCATTCGCCTCAGCCAGTCCGCGCCTCGGGCTCACCCCGCAAGCCAATGCTCACTTGCCCCGGTGCGGTCGTTGGGCGGTCCCCGAGGCGTCCTTGTCAATCCGAGGCCCAGCCACCGTCGGGTTGGTGGCGGCTGCCTCGACTGGCGTGCGCCGTTGCCTATGAAAACGGAGCCGGTCAGCGGGCACGTGGGTGGGCGCTGCGTGTCCCGGCCGGCAAGCCAATGGGGAGGCGAGACCAGAGCCTGCGCCCGCCCAATCGAGGCGCGCGGGGGGCGGGTCGTGCGATGTTGATGGGCCCGGCGGAGGGGAGGGGCGGAGCTGTCAGCGCCAGCCAATGGGCGCGCGGGCGTGGGCTCGGGGACCAATGGCAGCCAGGGCGGAGCTGGCGCGCGGCCTCATAAGCCCCGCCCGGGGCGCTCGCGGAGGGCTCGGCTGCCAGCGACCGAGCGGGGCCCGGCCCGAGCGGGGCCTGGGGGTGCGACGCCGAGGGCGGGGGAGCGCGCGCCGCTGCTCCGGACCGGGCCGCGCGCGCCGCCTCAGGTGAGCCCGCGGGGAGGCGGCCGCCGCGTCCGAGCTCGGGCCCCGCCGCCGCCGCCGCCGCCGCCCCCGCGCCGCGCCCCGGGCTGCGGGCGGGCGCCCGGGACTCGAGGCCCAGGCCTCGGGCGCGGCCTGCTCGAGCCGCGGCCGCCGCGCTTTGTCCCGGCCCGCGAGGCGGTTGGGGGCGTTAACCGCCCGGCCCGTGGCGGGGGGGTGGGCGCCCGGCGGGGCCTCGGGCGGGGGCGGCTGCGGCCGGACAATGGCGGGCCCGGGGGCGGGGAGGCGGGGGCGTCCGGGCCGGGGCCGGGGGCGCGCGGGGGCTGGGCCGGGGCGTCCCTGCCGGCCCTGCACAAAAGATGACAGCGTGGGTGGCCCGGCCCGGCCCTGCCCGGCTGGGCCCCTCTTTATTATTCGCAACAATCCTGATAATTAAACAAAATGAGGAGAGAGGCACAGACGGAGAGCTCGCGAGCGCCGGCGATCCCAGGCCCCGGCCAGCGCCCGCCTGCGCGTCCGCCGCTCTGCGCGCCCCGCTGGGGCCGCCGGGGCGCTGCCCGGTGGCGGCCCCCGCGGAGGCCGCCGCTGCCCCCCGCCCCCGCCCCGGGGCAGCCCGCCGCGCCGTCGCGGCTTCCACGCTTGCCCCCGAAGAGAAGCGTGCAGTCGGGATTTTTTAAATTAAAAACCGTATCCACTTGGTATGCACCTCGCAGCTTGCGGACGCGTCCCCCTCAGGGCCTCCCCCTCCGAGCCGCGTCGCCACCCCGAAGACCCCCCCCCCTTCTCTGTAGAAATAGATTGTGGAGTCGCTCCCGCGGCGACCCCGTCGGGCCGTCCCATCTCGTCCCTTCCCGGTGGGAGCTGGGGCACGGATGCATTCTGAAAGGGACCTGCCCCGGGAATGTGCGAGGGCCTGGGTGTGTGCCCGGTGGGCGCGGTGACACCCGGTGCGTTGGTAGTTCGTGTCCACCTGGGCGCGGTGGAAGGCTTTACACGGGATTGTGGCACCCCCCCACTCCCACCCCCCGGGGGTGCGGGAGGCCTGGACCGGGCTTTGGTGTGTCCCAGCTGTTTGGTTGCGGGAGGACGCTTTTGTGTTCCTAATTCGGGCGCACCTGGGGAACTGTTTGCCGAGTTAGGAAACTAGGGAGAAGGTGGCCGTGTTCCATGGAATGCAGTGAGGCTGTAACATGTGCGGAGTGTGTTCTTTTCCGTGTGTTTCTGTCAATGGCATTTATTCAGCCAGTGCCCTTGGGTCCCATTGGGTGCTGGCTCTGTCTTGGGGTCCCAGGATGCTGGGCTGCATTTAAGGCTGGGGGCCCTGCCTCAACAGCGTTTACGGGGCTGTCTCCAGGCTGGAGAAAGCCGTGAAAACGGGTTCATTAGATCACTCTCTGGGCTTTTATCGCCGCCATCCGAGAGGTAATGACTCCCCTAATTCTCAAATAATAGCTTCCGTATGAGGCTCAGGAGGGTCTGTCAACTTGCTGGGCAGCCTTTTCTCGCCACCTCTGGGAGAGCCGACGGCCTCTCTCCTCTCTGCAGTTTGTTTTCTGGAACCTCAAGGACAGAGTGGGAACGTCTCGCACTCAACTTGTGATCATCTGAGTCGAGGGTTTCGGAAACTCGCTGGCCCTCTTTCCGTGTTTCTGATTGGATGCTTGGCCACCCCCCGGCGTTCCTCCGCTTGTGCTGGGGGCCCCGCTAGGCGGCCGGCCCTGCTCTGGGGGACGTCACCGCCCAGGTGTCGCGGCGGCTGCATGCGGGCGCTGTGTCCGTCCCCGCCCGTGCGCTGTGTGTGTAGTTGTTGGCTTGAAATAGATCTACGTGGGGGTCTCTGTACAGTTGGTTTCCTCGCGTTTTCTGATCTTTCCTCTTTGTGGGTGGGCTGCTAAGGAGACGTTGAGTACTGGAGTTGAAAGGTGCTGCTGATGGGTCACTTAGGACCCGCCCGCCTTTGTTGTAGTTTCCCTGGGTCCCCGGGGCCGTCCAGCAGGGAGCTCTCTGGACTCTGGGGTGGTCAGCACCCGTCCCCACCCCCACCACGCCCCTTTCCCCGACCCTGTCCACTCTGTCCTTCTGCATCTCGTTTCGAGCCTTCTCTGCTGGTTTCTCGCCCCTGCCCTCCAGCGCCCCGCCCCCTGCCCGCCAGCGCCCCGCCCCCTGCCCCGGAGGGGCCCTGCCATCTGTTCTGGGGTCTATCTGACACCGGGGACAGCGGGCAGGTTATGGAGAATTCCTAACTTCAGGGGGTCTTGGTGTTAGTGGGAGAAGGGACAGGTGGGTGTCCTGGGGGGTGCAGCCCGCCATCCGGGGGGCCTGGGGCAGGGAGCAGGCAGGACCAGGGGATGTGTGGTGTTGGGCTGAGAGGCTCTGGCTCATGACCCTTTCTGGGTGGCTTTCTTCCTGGGATCTGGAAGTGTGCGTGGGTCAGAGCCATGTGACCTGTCACTTGCTCGAGAACAAAGTAGGGGGGGAGGGGTGGAGAGCAAATGAACTTCTGGCAGAGGGCACGACCGGAGGGCCCCTCAAACCCTCTTGGTCAGCACCGTGCCTCTCCCGCAGCCCCCTGGGTCCTGGTTCTGCTCCAGAGACTTGCCCCAGGGCTGCTCGTGGGGGTGGGGCCTCAGTGCCCGGCTCCTGCCTGCCTGGCCCTGGGCCTCTGCTTCTGGTCAAGGATGCTGGGCAGCAGAGGAGAGTGACAGACCCGAACTCCCTCTGACCTGCTGTTGTTGGCAGTCTCTGGACTCCTGTCCCCACTGAGGCTTCCAAGTCTGAGCGACCTGCGTTCACATCCCTCCTCTGGAGCAAGTCACTTCCCTTCTGTGGGCCTTGCATTTCTCATCTGTAAAATGGGTACAGTGAGAGCCCCTCCTAGGTCATTGTGGGGGTCAGAGGGGATGAGGAGCACTGAATGCTTTGTGTGGCGCCAGGAGCCCTGAGCTGGACGCGCTCGCGGGGGCTCCCTCTCCCTGTCTGCCTTTGATCGGGTTGTTCTCCATGGATCTGTCCTGGGCACTGTAGGGGGCTGAGCAGCATCCCTGGCTCCACCCATTTGATGCAAGGAGCTGCCCCCAGTGTGACAACCACAGATGTCCCCTGGGGTACACAGTCACCCTGAGCGAGAGCCTGTCACTTAACCTTGAACCCTGCACAAGCCTGATACTTGGTTATGACCCTGATCTGCCTCAAGTTCCGGTTTCCTTTGTCCCCTCCTCTCTTCCGTCCTTGAGTAGGGAGGGGCTTGTGTTTGCAAAGGGTGCTTGGCCATCCTCAGCCTGGCCTTCCGGGTCCTTCCCAGCCTGTGACTTTCACTCCAGGAGAGGTGCCCACCCACAGACTCCCCCATGCCACCCTACAGGCAGGGTGCAGGGGTCTTCCAGGGACCCTCACCAGCGCCCCTGGGCGCCCCGCCCAGGCTTCCACCTCTCCTGCCCCCCACCCAGCCCCCCACTGTGCCCTTCCCTGGCATTCTGCTTAACAGTTCTCTCTGAGTTGACTTGAAGGTGACTCACTTCATTAATCTCGCCTCCTCCTGAACAGAAATGTCCCCAAAGTTGTGGGTCTGTTAATATGCTAGTTCAGATATACACTGAAATGGATTTCACGATGATGTTAGAAAGGTTTGTGTCACGTCATTAGTAAGGCGTGGGTGCCCTGGCAAATTGGTTTTGTTGTTGGCTGAATTGGTTTTTGAGGGTCTTGTTGGTTAGAGATGTATCCCTGCTGGACTGTCAGTTTTCACTGCTGCTCCTTCAGGGAGCTTCTGGAAGCTTTAAGAATGGTCTTCCTCTCCTCAGAACCCCCCGGTAGCTTCCTGTTGTTCCTGGAAAAGCTTTGAGACCCTTTCCCGTGGCCTCCCTGCTCTGTCCTCTGTGGTCTGTCTGTTCTCCCTGCCCTCCCCCTTCTCATCCCCCTCCTGTGCCTGCTTCCTCAGTTGTAACCAGCTTCCCTCCTGCTCTTCCCTGTCCTGCTTCAGGGCCTTTGCACTTGCTGTTCCCACACTGTTCTAGCCAGCTGGCTCCTTGTCATTCAGGTCTCTGCTCAGAGGCCATCCCTGACCACATGGCCAAAACTCACCCTTCCGACCACCCTCTCTCCCCATCCTGCCTTTTCATCTTTGCATTTAGCGCTACTGTAAATACGTATTAATCTATTGATATATTTATTGTCTCATTCAGGAGGGCAGAAGCTCCTGTGAAGGGTTGGAGAGTAGACAGTTTTTGCTTTACAGGCTAGTCTCTGTCCCAGCTACTCCTGTCTGCCACTGTAGCACGGAAATATGGAAATAATTTTTTTAATGTGTATTTATTTTTGAGAGAGAAAGTGACAGAGACAGAGCATGGGGTGGGGGGAGGAGCAGAGGGAGAGGGAGACACAGAATCCGAAGCAGCTCCAGGCTCTGAGCTGTCAGCACAGAGCCCACGCGGGGCCCAAACTCACCAACCGTGAGATCATGACCTGAGCCGAAGTCGGACGCTCAACCAGTTGACTGAGCCACCCAGGTGCCCCCAAAAGCATGGAAATAAATGAGTGTGCCCGTTTTCCAATAAAACTTTACTCATGACCACAGAATTGTGAATTTCATATACTCTTCTCACGCGATGAACTATTTTTCTTCTTTTGATTTTTTTTTTCCCCTCACCTAATCGTTCAGAAGTGTCAAAACCATTGTTAGCTCGGAGGCTGTATAGAAACAGGCTGCGAGCTGGGTTTGAGCCGTGGGCCGTGGCCTGGGAGCCCCTGCGCCAGGGTGTGAGGTCGGCACTTAGACGTGACCTCTGTTTCAGCCGCCGCGTGTCTCCCTGGCCCATGGTGGGTGCTCGGTTAATGCGCCTTTGTCGAATGAATGAATTTCCATCTTTCTTACATCAAAGCATTCAGAGTTGGACTCTATATTAAAAAAAGGGTCTTGGATTCTTTCAAGGGAAACCAGCGCTGCAGGACATACAGAAAATGTCGCGATCCCATCCACCAAAACAACCCTAGTGAAGGAAGGGAAAAAA